ATGTACAAATATATTTGCGCGCACTCATGCATACATAAATAACTCTCATTTACATGCTTAAGTTAAGTTCTAACAAATGGCAAATTTTCCAAGTGCCAAATGAGCAAATCCATTTAAGACGCAGTTACAACCGACAAAACGCATTCAAGATATTTTCAGGATGGAATATTCATATTCATAAAGGCAATTCAGCGACGTGCGATAAATGCCGACCTGTAATACATACATGCGTAAAGATACACATACATACATAAATATGTAACTAACCGGCTGGGTACATACATACACATATATGTCCTTATGTCTGTAAGCAATAGTAGCACAAGTTATGTCGCACACAGCCTGGCTGTCGACAGCAATCATATCCAATAAGAACTACACCACCGTCACACCAAAACCAAAGCACACCAACCAATGTCAAGAGCTCTACTTCAACAAAAGTACTCGTATCACAGCCACCAACGACGACAACGCCAGCAACTACTACATACATACATAAGAGAGCAACCAACAAGCGTGCAGCAGCTAGCAGGCAGCCAGCCAGCAGTGAATAGCGAAACGATCAACTGGAAGACTTAAATAATGCAAGTAACCGTTTTTCAACGCAGCATTCTACGCAGATTTAAGTGAGCCATCAAAACGCACCACAGCCACTTAAGGAGTATAGAAGTATAAGGAAAAATACAAACAGCCGCCACCCTACCACCCTACCAACCAACCACCCAACCACCCAACCCAAGCCCACCCATCAAGTGGGCGCGCGAAAAGTTCAACAAATTGTTCCATGCTGTATGTAGTAAACACTTCAAGCTATCAGTAAAAAAATAGAAAAAAAAATAGAAAAAATGTTCGACACTAAATGGTTGCCTGCCGCCTGTGGCAGTTTGGCGCCCGCCCTCATACCGCCCGCACACATGTTGGTGTTGGCCTACTTTTGGCAAAATTATTCACGTTACGTTGATAAACACTTTTGTACTTGCTCCTGCTGGGACACCATATTCAAGGGACCATATGAATCGGGTATCGCCTCCTATAAGCATCTCTACTTCAATGTCACACAAAACTCGTTCAAAATGTGGCTGATCACCGTATTCGCTGTTATTGCACTTTATGAATGCATTAAACAGTTGATTGCGTTGATATTGCAACAACGTTGCCGCTACTCGATGTTGTTGCTATTCTCGTTGTCGATATTTTCACACTACTATGCGTGGTGGGCGTACATGAATTACTACAACGACGACTACTATCAACAATGGAATCATCAACTATTCTTTACGGTAAGTATGTATTTATGTATTTATGTATGTACCTACTTAATATTGTCGAATATAAATATGTAGTTATGCACATAAATTTATGTTTATTCATGAATGAGTTTTGTTGTTGCAATCAGTTGTAATAAAGCCTGCAGCAGGCGGAGTAGAGTACACGGAATTTAGATCGGTTAAGTGCTGAGTAGAATACTGTTGCACTCGTACTTGTAATGGAACATTTAGAAATCTCAATAAGATTTGACTGGAAGAATTTTTTTCTAGTGTCTCGCGACTTTTACGTGCCATGACTGGGAACACGCCAAAATAATGCAAACCTATTTTTCCACTTTCTTCGAGATTACAGCTGCTATAGTGAGAGTTGTACGAGAGGCCCATTGCGGCTGCATACTCACCGGCGATAGAGTTTAACGTAAACTTGCAATCTCTGACTACTTTTGAATTCATTATTGGTGTTACCAGTGTCAGAAAAGCTGGTTGGCTATATGAGCAAATGTACTTTGTTTAGGTACTCTCTCACAGCTTCTTGTCATTACCCTACAAGCCCTTTCAAAACAAGAAGGTGGTGGAGAGAGAGGCTTCCAGCATCTCAGCAACTGCCCCCGCACTAATACCCAAGTCCATTTTGGACTCATCAAAATTCTCCTCGATTACCTTGTCTCTTCTCAAATGCCATCAGAAAACTTCACCTGCAAGTTTCTCTTAAAATCTAGTGTTGTTCGACTTCTGTAATTTGCCAAGAATATTACTATGCCTAGGTTGATTTGACATCCATTAGGCCGACTCTTTGAGCCTGAGTGGGTTCACGAAACTAAAGTTTTTATATTTCGCCATACATATCTGGGCAATACTTATAATAATACTAATGTTGTTAAATTTAGTGCAATTAAATGCAATAGAAATATAAACTACTTATGGAAGTATCTATGTGAAAAGTTTTTAGAAAATTTACTTCGAATATTAGCCAAGCCAAATTCTTACGTTAGTATCCATATACGGGAATTAATCTCCCCGATAATCTCCTTTCAACGCATCACAATTTGCATTCGTCATTATGTACATCCTATAGTTTCATTCCAAATTTGTAAAAGCACTAAGCTGCGTTTAATTTTTCTTTCCTATTCACTGCAAATGTTGTTGGACACGCTCCGGATCCGGTTACCCAGCAAACGGTTTGCCCGCATAAAATGTAAATATGTAACTGGGCACCAGATTGCTTTAAAGATCTAATTGCTTTGGAAATGTACACCTAGCCCTATCAAACCGGCTACTGGGTAACCGAAAACCGAAGCGCGGGAAACGACAATAAAGTTTTTTCTCCGGTATCCCAGAAAAAAATTTACTGTTTGAAAAGATTTCAAAAACATTACTTTTATAAAAAGGGTCAAAAATACGTATTCAGGGGTGAGTTAACAAATTAATACATGATTTATGTTAACGTCTATTTGCATATAAAACACTCACATAAAAAACCCTTCATATGAATCACATCGCATATTTGGCCCTAACCGGCAAAAACCCTTAACCAACTTTTTTCAAAATTTTCTTTTTGATGCAGAATATTCCTAGAGCCACTACATTTAATTCTGCTTCAAAAATAAAATTTTGAAAAAATTTCGCTTACGTCGTTTTGACGGTCAGGGCTCGATATACTTAAAAAAGTATAAACAATTTTTTTCCTCTAATTTCACTGGTTAACAGCAAAAATTTTCAACGCATGCCACCATCCAATTTCTATATGGAATTGCTCGCTCTTTCCGAAAATCGAGTAAATTTTTTATTCCATGGATAGGTTTTCGAGATATTTTCAATTTAACGTCATTCAGCTTAAAACAAAAAGTGGTTCCATTTAACCACGTAGGTATATCTTACGAACCAATTTTACAATCTAACCAAGCAAACAAAATTCTCCATAAACCGTATACTTACGGTGACCATAAATTTGAATTGAAAATGCAGGACAATTAAAAAAAATATATACATACATACATGTGTAAGTTAACGTAGTATAAAATAACAAGAAAATATAAACTGGTTATTAAAAGTGAGTGCATTGTGATTTTTGTTAAATATTTGCAATGTTTTTCAAGTCAAAATTTTTTTGTTATTTTTTTTTTGGAAATATGGTTTATTCTTTACCCAAAACCACATAAGTCAAACTTTATACAGAACTTAGAAAAATTCAACAAATTTTCATCTAATTTTTTACTATTTAGCATGACATTGTGATGCTGGTGTCCATTTTCATTGTTGAAGCTTCAAAATCAGCCCCGTCCTCGTGTAGTTATCAATTATTTATCGACACTGCTTATATGTTGATAACTAAAGGGCTGCCGCCGTTTATTTTAAAATATCGAATAAAATGCGGGACAAAGGCAGGGCACTTGGAAAAAATCAGTACATTTTGAGGTTTTTCTGTTTTGAAAAACTACACAGTACAGACTTTTGAATAAGAGTACGATCCTGCAAAAAACAGGACGGATGGTCACCGTACATATACTATATATGTACATCACTTTTCGAATGTTACTCATACGCCATATACACCTGAGTAACACACTTTTCCGCTTATATTTCATTCGAAAACTCTTTGCGCATTTTCATTTGACAACTTATTACTTCTTTATTTATCCATCGATTTTCTTCATACATAAGTAACACAAATGCAAAAAATTTACACAGAATCTTATATTTTAAAATTTTTCTTCTGTTAATATATGATAATTTTTCATTTTTTATTTTTTTAACGGTAAATTGAAAATATCTCGAAAACTTATCCATATAATAAAAAATTAATTCGATTTTCGGAACCAGCGGGCGATTCTACATGGGAAATTGATAGGGGAATCCGTGGAACAGAAAATAAACACAAATTTGTTATCCAGTGTTTTTAGTTAACCCTTTCATTACCATAAGCTTTTAAGGGACGCTTTTTTTATATAAATATCTACGCATCATCTACATATGTAAATTTTACGATGGGACACTAATTAATAACATAAAAGTGTAATGAGGTAAAAAAAATGCTGGGCGCTGTTAACCCTAGCGGCATGAATTTAATTATGACTATTTTTGTTAAAAGATACATATACAAAACAAAATCTTTGCAAAAGTAGGCATATTGGCTAGCGGTTACATATGTACATATGTGCATAAACGTCGAACCACATACATATATATACATATGTGCATCCCTGCAGGGAAAGCGACTAGTTGTGAACTAGAATTCTACTAGTTTGCGTTTCAACGCAATTACTGTGACTGCTATTTTTAACATGACGATGATGTCCTACGAGATGTCAATTGCCCGGCTATGCATCAGCATCTACTAGTAGAAATACTAGTACGCATCATACCAGTTGATGAGATAGTCTGCCAATTTATTCCCCGTGAAAAACATACATAAGTGGGCGCTCTAACAGTCGCAATGTCCGGCAGAGCAAAGCACTGGCGTGGTATTCCATAGGTCCAAGGTTCGAGTCCAGGCGTAGGAAACGTTTTTTTTATTATTATTATTTTTTTATTTATTGTAATTTTATATATATCTACATATTTTTAATTAAATTTAAAAATCTCAATAAAAACCTAAATACATAATATAAATATATTAGGAAACAAAATAAAAAAAATTTTCCCACCGGCTGACTTGAACTTGTTTTATGGCGCAAGTATTTCTTTCCACATGTGTTTTTTTTTTTTGTAATCAAACACATGCAAACTGGCATATAAGTATTTTAATATAGCCACATAATTAGCTATAAAAGTAGTTCAATATGTCTACACGCATATATGCTACATTAGGCTGGTCCAAGATATTTTTCTCCAACCACCCACCCCCCATAATAATTCGATACTAGAATATTTCTGAAACAAAATATTTTTATTCGATTAAAAAATATTTATTTTTAAATATTTTATAACTGTTCTCGAAAAATTTTTTTTTTCTCCATACAAAATAAATGGAAAACTTCCCACACCGGAGGTACAGGGTGTGTTCGCGCTACATAATAATTACGGCAATATTGCAGCCTTGTTGCTAAAATGCTGCAGAAATTGCGCAGTAAAACGTTGTATGTTGCTTTTGATTTGCCAATAGTGAGCAATTGTTTGTCCAAAAATTTGTTTCTCGAACGCTTGATGTAGGCAGAATCGCTCAAATTTTCGCGTAGAACGTGATGCTCTTTCAGTAACACTGCCACATTACATAATTGCAGCTCGAATACACCCCCATTTTAACCTTCCTTTTATTAGTTCGGGATGTAACTATGTAATATTGATGCGCCTAAAAGATGCAGCGATTTTTATTCTGAAGTTACATACCTGATGACAGTACGAATGGCGATTATAATAGGGAGGTTTTAGTTTTTTAAACTATAATTTATTTAATTCTGGGGAATTTCAAAAATTCGAGTTTTCCCTTATATTTTTGGGCCACCCTACTTTACTGTACATATTTACGAAAACTAATTACATATATATATTTTCTACACAAACGTTTTTTCAAACACTGATAATGTGTAGGAGGTACTTATACTAGGCATACGCCAGTAGCCAATATACTGCTACGCTTATTACTCAGATAAATCAGTGCATTATTGAGAGCTTAATTATACGCTTACCTGCGTTTACATGGCGCTTTTCACGAGTTTTTTTGTAAGCTACATAATTAAATCTCATAAAGTGTGTAACATGAAATAATTTTCATACATAATTGTGTGACGATGAAATACTAAATGGTCATATGTACCGTAATTAGTAGAATTCACAAACTGTCGAAATAGGGTGGTCATTACTTTATAGGTAAAAAAAAAATAAGTGCATATTTTTATTACTCGTAGCTTGCGAAAACTTGCTATTATTCTGTCGTATACATACATACATACATGCATTGCTTAGAGTACGCCAATTACGAAACAAGTATTTGAAAATAATTTTGTAATTTCTCAATATTATACTGGGTAAAAGTGTTATTTCTTGGCAACCTTAGCTTTAGTAACCTCACAAAGGTGAGTAGTGCCATTTGCTACCGTTCTACAACAGCAACGCTTCGCTTGTTGTGAAATGGAATTTAATGCCTCTTGCACTTACAGTTTATTTCATATATGTATGAACAACACGAAATATTTCGCATTTAAAGTTTTAAAGCCACATTAGTTTGAAAGTTTACTGAATAGCTAATAACTCAGAATAAGCAACCACTTGTCTTCTAACTAAAAGTAACAAAGCTAAAGCTTTTTTGGAGCCAAGATTTGGCGCAAGTTAAGCAAAGTTTTTCAGCAACTACGAGATATATAAATCACTTAGCAGACTACGGCGCACAGTGGGGCAAACGTTTAATTTACTATTCAAAAAGGTCTGCAGCCTACAATTATTGACGGATTTTCTATTTTTTTTTTTTGAAGGGCACTTAATTAAATTCTTAAAAGGATTAAGGAACTAATTTTTAAAATGTATTTTGTTTTTATAGTTTTTTGTTAACCAAAGTTGAAAAAAACACACTTTGCAGCAAACAAAAAAAACAATTAATGCTTGACTCCAAGGCGCAAATTTTAAATTGTTTTATATTTTTTGTGAACACAATTATTTTTAAGCAATATGTAATTAATCGAAAATTTTCCCATTTTTACAAAAAAAAATCTCTTGTTTTTAATCTTAACAAATATCTCTTAGTCGTACAAGCAAAGTCAATTGCCTTTTATTCGATATTACAACTTTTTCTTTAATCGGTTACTAATCTATCCAGTTATAAGAAATTTGTATGATGAACTTTTATTTCTTTAATCAAAACCGTTAACTATAAAAACAAGATGAATTTAAAAAAGTAGCTCCTCAAACCTCTTAAGAATTTAATTATCTTTCAATTAAAAAACAAAATTGAAAGTTCGGTTATTACCTCAATTCTTTTTTTTTTTTTTTTGAATTTCAGTTAAGCTACTCTAACTCTCAAGGCCCTGAATTGAATTCTCATTTTCGTTGTAGGCTATAGACCCTTTTGATTAGTAAATTTCCCGTTAGCAACACTGTGCGACTGCTACTTACGAGACGAATTCATATTTGGTATAAAAAGTTGCCGTTGAAGTTAACAAACTAATATTTTCAGATTGGAAGAAAATATCTGCTTGATTTCTGATGGCAGCTTCTTCTCTTTGTATTTAGCGCCTCAATAGAGCGTTTAGCTAAATTGTGTACCTGCTGTGTGTAAATGTGTCGGTACTTGTCCACAGTATATCGGAAATTTTCCTGACTTTTGGAAACATTTGTTTACATTTCTGCTGAATATACTCGTACATATGTATGTAAGTGTTGTTGTATGTATTTTCGCCGTTTCGGTGTTTATGATGAGTACAATTTTTAATTCTGAAAAATGCTGAATCAGTTAATCAGAAGGCCTTGAACCTTTGGCCATGCCATACAAAAGAGGAGTAAAGAATCGAGCACGGTAAGATATATCGCTTTCAAACTTCAACTAGAAGTGCTCCTTGTAAACCTAACCTAGTTCTTTTTACGTCATCCCTTGTCAGATTTGGTTTGGAGGCAAGCGGTTTGGGTGTTGAGCCATCTTCAGATATGATGGAAATTTGTTCGAAAATAAATCATACTACCACCCTATCGGAAATATTATCAAAATCTGCGAAAAATTTAATGAATCTACGGTAACAGGGCATTTAACTGAGCTGTGAACCGTTGCACGTTGCTGGAGCATTATGCAAACCATAAGGCGCAGGCTTGAATTGGAAAAAACCTCTACCTGATACCGTGAAAGCTCTGAAGTACCCCGATCGCTCCTCCCGATCGGGAATCTGCCAATAAGCTGACTTAGTTTCCAGACTGAACAAGAACCTAGGGATGCCAGGTTTAAGGTATCTGAAACTTATGGGAGGGGGGAACCTTATAGCCTACACAGAACCTATACGACATCCTTCTTCCTAATCACGACCAACGGGGACGTCCAAGGACTATACAACTACTCAATTACACCCATGTCAAGCATATCTTTCAATTTGTCGTCCATGCGCGACTGTATGACGGGAGACACCGCGTAGTAACGCTGCTTGATAGGTTCGACAGCTGCCCTAAACCGAATCCAATGCTCGAAGCAAACTAGGTTCGACCTAACCCTTTTGGCAATGCCTTGAACGCCTGGGATACTATTTCCGCTAAAGCCTTAACCTCTCCATTGCCTAACTCGGAGCGGTCCACTATCACCGCCAACGTCTCGTGCTCCAGTTGAGAAAACGACCATTTCATTCTCATCAAACGCACTAAAAGTGGAATAAAAAGTTTATATATCCAAATACATACGCTTATCGAAGACCACCTGACCTGCTATCCCAGAGGTTTACCTTCCTTTTCACGAGCTTTTATTCGGCCTACCTTCGACCTCGCATCCCACTTAACCTCCTCCTGGGCTATGTTGGACACCCTGGGCCTCCTTATTGTGTCGACTCCACTAAAGCTTCAACTTGGAACTTGTCCGTAGATAGATTTATTTGACAACTGTCAAAATATATCATCATGAAAGATAAAATCTGTTATTTACTTTACAGTACTTTTGCACCCAACGTAAATTTGTTTGTCCACCGCATGCGGGAAATAATTCCGCGAGTTTCTTTCATGAAAAAAATCAAAGTTAAAAAAATAAAAAATTAAAGGACAGCTGACTCATTGGCCACAATAGATCACAATAACAGAAACCGACTACAGAAATTCCCGAAACCAATTTTATGAAAGGAGCAGGACTTCGATTCAACGGTTGTGATTTTTTATTAAAAATCATAATTTCTCGTTAAAATAAAATTTATATTTTTCTGATCAAATTTAACCATTCATTTATGATTTTTGTTTTTTTGATCAACCATAACCGTTATATTTGGATATTTTGTTTTCGATCTTATATAACCATTATTTTCAGATTAAATTTTTTAGATCATAGAAAATTTAAGTCGATCATAAATGACCAAAACAAAAAACAAAAATCCAAAATAACAATTATTTTTGGTCGAAAAAGTAAAAAACAAAAATAACGATTTTTCAACGTTCTAAAAAGAAAAGTCTTAATATTTAGCGGCTATTTTCGGTCTCTGGTGGATACAGGCTCACACAGACCACTGCAGTATTTTTCCATTAGTTCCGAATCAGTAAACTTGTGGTGAATTTTTCTCCTATCTTTTATGTCCACTTCTAAGATATTCCTTTAATTTACTTAATTACCCTTCAATTCTTCTCATTTTTCTCATTTCTCAATTGTAGGTAACCGAATTGATATCTTCCGTATTGGTTATGCATCTGGCCAACACCACCAACACCGTCACATCGAAAAAAGTATTCTGCATCGTTGGCATTGCCATACTCCACATCACAGCCAGTAGTTTCGATCAATTCTTCCTGAATGTGGTACGTGGCGAGGGCTATGCCCATCAAATAGTACGTGATATCGGTTTTATGGTACCGGACATTCTCCAATTAATTATACCATTGTGGCTGTTCCGTAAAACGCGCAAGGAATCGTATACGACACGCCCCTTCTATCGTGATCGTAATCTACACAAAGATATTGTGGCGATGCTATTCTTCGTGTTGGCACTCTTTGTGGTTTGTACGATTTTGTGAGATAAAATTTTCCAATACCTACAGATGATGAATAGCGAAGAGGAAGCGCGTGCCACAAGGCGTATGAATTTAATGGCGCGACTCTACTTCAATTTGTAAGGTAATTTGAATAACCAACATATCTATGTAATGTAAAATGTTAAACAGCAACAAAAGTGGGAGCAGACATGTCATACATTTAGCGGATGTTTGAGGTTGCGCAGCGGCATAGCATAACTTTGTCGCACTGAACCGCAATTGGTGTGGTGTAAGTCTAGTTTTAGCTACATAGTTTTATAATTACAAATTCTAGTACATACGCTCATACGTACTTAGATACATCTGTACATACATATGTATGTATATAGTTATAGAATTATATATTTATATTACATAGTTCCATAGTGCAACTAGTTCAAAGAACAAACTTTTTAGTTTTCCTTTCTTCCGCTATGTATAACCATGTGATAGATGTGTGTGTTTCTTTTATAAACTTAAAATTTTAATTATGATGGATTTTTTATTTTTTTTAAAATAAAGTAGTGAATATTTTGAGTGTTAGTGATGGGGAAAAGAAAATATATACGTACATACATACATATATACATTTGTAGAAAGAAAATAGTTTTTTAATAATTTTCGGAAAATATGCTTTAGCAGGCAAATTTGCATACACTCTGTCAAATAAGTTCTAAAGCTGGACTTTACTTTTGATGTATTTACTTTTATTTCTTTAAATTTTTCATAAAATTGGTTAAGATTCAATATTGCACAATTTGTTGGCCACATATTTCCCCAACATAAAGATTTGCTTTTGAAACTATTTGACAGAGGAATGCATGTTCATAAATATTTGCAAATATCATGGCAAATTATAATAAGTTTACTGAAATCTACGCAACAATATTAGTTATATGTTTATAGATATTCCAACATACATATTCAAAATAGATTTCTATGAAACGAAAATTGTAGTGAAACCAAAAAATATTTTTAGTGAAAATAAAAGTTTGACCATATCAGCACAAATTTTTTACACCGTAGATAACATACTCGAACGTACCACATAGTATTTACATACATATGTATATACAAATACAACTCTCCCTACCTAAAATAAAATTTTTCTTAATTTTTACACTATAGGCATCTAAAAACTTCAAAATGACTAGGTTAGATTAGACAGGTGGCTCTGGTTTATGTGTTCACACGGTAGCCGTAAAGAACCGTTGTAATGCCTAGGAGAGGATATCCCTCCCTATACTCTGGCCATCCTGATTTTCTGGCGAATGCTATCAGACGCTCTAATAATGTTTTCAGTGGTCCTCCAGAAAGTTGGGAAGTGAACGGCACCCACTTACGAAGTGCTGGATTGATTCTCTATCCCACCTCATCTCCACAGCATTTGAAAAAATCGTAAAGTGAGCTATTCGCCTGGAGGACATGTGGCCTGTTTTCCGCAAGTATTACTGTGAGTAGCCGTACGCCTTTTTCTTTGAGGGCCTTAGCCTACTCCATGGTCTTCGTTCATCCACATTGCCCCTTGCATTTTTCACGTATGTCTACATATGTTGTTAGGTGGACTGTCTAGAAGAGTCGCTAGCGTAGGCTGGGTTGCCGAGCAAATTGCTTGCGTTGTTTATAGACATGCGTGATGTGTATACCCAATGTATTATCATTAAGTATTCCTTCCTTTCCAGGAAAGTTTAGAGTCGATAATAACCCGCAATCATTTCGTCTTTTTGACAACTGACGACCTGCCGGCATTGTATGATCGAATTCGAAAATAGCCTGTCTTATATTGCGTCATGAACTTAACTAGTTCAGTTTTGAAGAGATTTCCTCAGAGCGTTTTTTTCTGCCCACCTTGTCGGGTCGTTTTGAATGTAAATTGTAATATCTCACAGACCGTCAGGCTGAACTTACTTACATATGTACGACTAGGAAGAGGAGTTAGAAATTACAAATATTTATTATCTGACGAATATAAGGCAATTGAATCACGTGCAACGATTACTCTGCGACTTATGCGAGTGTTATCAAGTCGTTAGTTTTCTTCTTGAAGAGGTGTAGAGATAGATTCCAAAAAGAAACCCGTCTCTGCTTAATAATGTTGTAACAGCAAGAAAAACACCCAAAGAGTTCTCGGGGAATAAATACTGCACTGTGCCAGACAAGGATCTGGGTCGTTTCAGTTATGTAGACTCCTTTTTCGTTTGAACGTCTACCTCTGTTTACTCTGGACCTTTAAGGTTATACTGTCAAAATTGTAAGTACTTTATGTCTCCAGATACTCAAGGTAGGAAGCTTGGCCGTAACTTCATTTTAACTGGTAGTATATTTGTTACTAGCCCATACATTTGTAAACCGTATAGGAGAAAGATGACCGCTTAAACTGCAAATAGTGAACTCGATGTACACGCCGTTTCTCATCTCCGATATTTATTTTTTGGTATCCAGAATTAGAGTAAAGCAGACTAACTACGTCCATGTTATTCACGATATTATTATGCTCTCTATGCCTGAAAACCTTCTTCTCAAAACACCTTCATATACCTGTAATGCCAAATTTCCTTTACTTTCAGAACGAGTTCTTTATTAAAGACTTGTATTCTTCTTCTTATTTGGCTTTTAATCCTTAGTCAGCTGGAAATGAAATAAGGAAACCTTTCTTTTGCGAAATTCCGTCAGTAACTCGCATTTAGTCCTTACATTGAGTTGTGTTCTTGGCGCGTTTGCCTTCCGTTTACAGTCATGGATGCCGAGTCGAGGGATCTTTTCACCGGAGCTTCAGCACCCAAACGTACAGACCTTGAAGCACATATAGTACGTTATTTCATCTTTCTTAGTATCCGTTGAAAACTCAAACAGGGCAACAGATTTTGCATAAAATAGTTTTCGCGAAATCCCCTAAAGCCTGAGAGTGCTCTGCTTTTCAATTACCTACCGAGCCCAAATATGCACCTGTTGTAGGAGTTGTTCATTCGCTGAACTTCAGGCTGACATTATTGGTTCACTAATTCCAACGAGTCCCCATACAAATGTCCCAATACGCGAATACGCTTTGCTAGTTACCAGTAGGTCTTTGTCTGGTTATTCGTTCACCGCTAGACCAAAATTTTTTCCTCGTCTTCTATGCTGGAAAATGTTGTACTTATCTAAAACACCTGGTTAAAGTCAACCACGGCTCGGAGAGATCTTAATGAAAAAAAAATTATTATTTTTGTAATCTTCATATTTGGTTTGAAATTTGAGTCAGGATTATTCCGGCATAGTACGAAGAACCTTTCAGACTTTACCTTGGCGATAAGTATTCCGGGAATTAATTTTTTGGAAAATCTTATTAAATCTTTCCGATATTCGAGATATTCGATCTCAAACGCGGAGGCCACTTATTTAGTTCAGACTCGAAGCCATAAAGAAAATTATTGGAAATTTTTACTAAGTGTTTCGATATCAATGAATAAGGATGAAGCCCTTAACAGCTTCAAAACAGGCGTTAGGCGCAGTATCTACCGCATCTCCAAAACATGGACACCTTTATTATCTTTAAAAGATCTATCCGATGTTAGCTGCCTTCAACCAAGATTTGCAAACGATTTACCGAACTATTTTCGAAACACCTAAAACTGCAGTAATAATTACAATTGTTTTAATCACTAGGGTGTAACAACATACATATGTACTTACACACCTATAAAACAACTAACCAAACAGTATTGAAAAAACTCAGAAAAAAACAAATTAATAATCAGCGCATGCGTACAATATAAATACCTTTAAGATGAAACAGTATGCTATAAACAAAAAAATATTTAAAAAAAACACAAACCATATCTTTATATAAGAAATCTACAATAAATAAAATGTAAAACCAAAACGGCAAACAATTAGGCATTAGAGAACTAAAACTAAAAACCAAAATGAATTCAATATTAAGCTGACCAAAATTTAAGAATTGAGCACATATCGACAGCTACATACATACATATAAAGGAATATCTACATGCATATAAAATATACATAAATAGGTACTTAGTTAATTTATACTAAATTCAAAAAGAAGTAATGGGAATAGCTTCAAAAAAAAACTGTGGTATTCACAAAAATAAGTGCATACATATTTTTAGAATACTCAGCAGAGAAAGGCTGATGCAAATACCAGATTCTTATTTCATTTAAATAAAGTAAAAAAAAAATGAGCAAATGAAGCCGATGAAGGCATCACTGCATTAGCATCTCTAGACTCTAGACTAGAGATGAAAATTCAAAAAGTTTATTTTTTGGCCATATATAATCTTTAAACCTCCCAGTTGCCTTCAACTCCTGGACCAATTCGAGTTCTTTGTCGCAAGCACTCGTAGAATTGTTAACTGCTTTCAATATTAGCGATCGACGTTATTGGATTATTTCACAAACCAACAGCATTAGTTAGGCAAAGTCCATTCATTCCAAAATTTGCATCTTAGGGCATAAAACGCCAGGGGAATAAGTTCAGCTCTTACAAAATGAGAGTTATGCCAATAGTAAATAAAAATAATGATAATGGTTTATTCAACAAATTATATCATTAGCCGTTCGAGAAGTTCAGACACGTGTTAATGAGGCGAAAGAAATAATGCGCCATGAGCACAAGTTGACGAAACACTTCATAGTGCATAATTTTGGGCTCATTATGTTAATAAAATAATAAGCTCAGTGGAAATAGCTTTCAAAGGAAAATCAATTTATTTTGGAACACCGTATAAAACACGTATGTACATATGTTCAAGTACATAAAAGTCCATAGTACTTCCCAAATACTTCCGTTAGCATTGCATTCGATTTCTTTCTCAATTTCTTTTGACTTTCGGCTATTGATTTTTTTAATCAAAATTATTTATGTAGATTAGAAGTAGACTGATTGTGGGTAACCTATTATCAACCCGAATATACTCCTGAACCTTATAGACTTTAGCGTTGCATATATGTACATACATTATGGTGAAAGGTCAAGTGCTAGATATGTATGTATTTTATATAAACTTAGGTGTATGTGTGCTATAAAATACAAAACGTACTATAATCAATTTGTTATTGAATATTTCGAATTGAAAAAAAAAAATATAAAATAAAATCAATTACTGCGATTTTAAATTAAAACAACTTCTTTAATAAAAGCAGTTGAACGAACACAAAAAAAATTTAAATTCGGAAAATTCCGATGCAGAAAAGGTTCTTTTAAACAAACAAACATTTTTTTTATAACAGTTGCTATTAGAGAGTAGATTTTACTAATTTAACTATTTTTTACAATTTTTTATACAAATATAAATATGATAAAATCTAACACTTACCCACATACAAAAATATACCTAGCCCTGAAACTAGTTCAAGGAAATTAATACATATTGATAGACACACGCATATATGTAGCTAAAATGCGAAAAATCGTGAACAGATAAGAGTTATTTAACACTTATGCTGTATTTCCACTGGGCATTAGTTGAATGACAAAAATATACGGTTCTTTACTTTAATGATGGTACACATTTTTCGATATTTCAGTGCCTAGTGGAAATGCGGCATTCGTTTTTAGAGAATCAAAATTAGTTTTTACGTTTAGTGAAAAAACAAAATTTAAATATTATACTTAATTATGTATTTATAAAATGTAGAAATTATAGATAACCGAGACAAGGAAATCGAAAATATGTAGTGTGCATTAAAAAAAATATATATTTTATGTAAAATATTGTTACATATGTATACAAACATATACATACATACATATATTAATTAGCACAATAATTGACTATAAATAATAATATGGAAATATATGCGTTGGTTATTTTAGAAATAACTGCAAAGGAAAAAATTACAAAGTGTTTAAACAAAATTTGTGTTTTACTTACTTATTTTTTAGAGAACATTTCAGTCCCTCCTACATACATATGTTTCATTAATTTTTTTGAGTAGTAAGTATAAAGCTACATGGAGAACTAGAGCTTCAATATATAGCAAATAGCCTAAAAAAATATATAGACTTTTTTCCTTGAAATAATTAGCAGAAGACTTATTGAGTTATTAATGATGGTAAGTAACTTAACATAGAACATAATAAAACTGTTGCAATGAAATGTGAAATCAATACCAAGTTGGCATACTGGCATTACATAATGCAGCCCGTTTCTAATACCGGATTTCCATTAGGTATTAAAATGGAAAAAAAATTTGTGCCATTTAAAAAATGCCATGCGAAAACGAACTTAATGACTGTTTTTACATTATTCCGACATCTTATTCTGCATCTTAAAGCTCCTACATATATAGGAGCTAAAGAAAGTTCGAACTCCCTACAGCCTAATTTATCCGTCCATCCTATTGGGCCCTCTCTCCTATACAACACTTATTCTAAGCCTAGATCCTTCAGAAAGTTCAACAGCGTATTCGGAGATAGCGAGTGGGTGTGCTTAAGCTGTGGCCACATCGAGCCTAGATTTCTCTCACGTCTTCTTCAGTCTGCATGACACTCGGTGAGAATGTTTAGTTTGTGTCTCGCTGGTTGATTCGCAGAAGCTTTCGAATCTCTTCTTGTTAAACCCTCAGAGCAAACTCTTTGCCTCACGCATTCCTCCTGAACTTTGCCAATTTATACCCATCAATGTGCTCCTCTCGCTCTTAAGATCCTCCTCTATAGTGTTGGGATCCACTCCCACGGAGGGCTAGGGGCCAACTGCGGTAATTATAGCCACATTGTTACTCTCTATTCCCTTGTGGCCGGGTACCGACGCTAACTTGATGTCATTGTTTCTGCCAAGTGCGTTACCTACTTCCCCAACCGTTTAGCTTTGTTGTTGGATGCCTTGCATAGCTGGAGTACTTCGCACTACCCCCATAATAATATAATTGGACAATCTTCGTGACATAAACTTTTTTTAAAAACCGCCATGTTGCAAGAACCTACCCAGCGCCAAATCGTAAGCGTTCCAACTAGTCGGGATAATAATTTTTTTTAACGAATAAGGAGAAGCAAAACTCGATTTTTTTTTGTGTGTGTATTAATTAAAATTTATTAAAATAATTGCTTATTCTAAAATATTCATACTCTAAATGTGACACTGTAGGTAATATTTTATTTTTATTTGTTGCTGTTTCGTAGTACAATTCTGTGTGTGTAATTTAAATCTATAATTACTTTTTCTTTTAAATAGTTCCTAACTGTTACAAAAAATTATTATCGACACACAATTAGTGTTGTATGTATGTATGAGTGTAAGTTGCATACATAATTTACGCAAATTCTTAGAAATTTCGATGCACAAATCTAGGCGATCTAGTCAAGTGCACAATTGAATCGATAATTTAATTGATTTTCTAAATAATTTTCAATCAAATTTGCACATTTTTATGGACCGTTCAGTTAATGATTTTTATAATTTTTACAAATTTTTTTCATTTAATTTTTATATGTACATATGTGTACATCACCTATGTATGTGTTAATTTTTCAAAGTCGAACTCAAATACAGATACATACATATTTGCTTAAATTTAAAAAATATCATACGTTTTAAAAATATTTGAAAAAATATTCATAACCTATTTTTTCCCAAATAAAGTATCATTATTCTTTTTTTTAGTATGTATGTATGCATACTTATAACTCATGTCAATGAAAAACTAGTTTATGATTTAATGGAATGTACCGGTACTAAAACAAATTAAATCAAATGCATGTTCGATAAGTTTTAAAAATTGCCGCTGTAAAAGACGTGTCAGCGAATTTTAAAGGTCGTAGAAAAGAAGAGCGCAATGTTTTTTTTTCTCCTAAAAAGGTTGTGAAATTAAATTTCTTATTTAAAGCACAAAAACATTTATATACAAAGATAAGACGAATAAAAAAATCATGGACATTACATCAGAATTGTAGGGAGTTAAAATTTTTATTTTTCTTTTTTTATTACCTACACTTACTTTTGAGTGCGACTTAAGACAAAAAAAAAATATGTATAAAAAACTTAAAGGTACAAAAAAATGGACGGTATACATTTGCGCTTGAGAGTTGCCTATTACAGTGTTTTTTTTTTTTATCAAATACAAACCTAAATATGGTTTTGAAAATAAGAGAAATACGCAATGAAAACATAAAAAACCTAAGCGTCAAACTAAATCAAATTAGAATTAAACAAAAAAGCACTCTTGAAGAAAGTACGCAGCACAAAAACGCAGCGAAAACATTACTAAATGGCCAGTTGGAAGGAAAAGCTAGTGGATCTACTTTAGTAGTGATTATCATTTTTTTCGCATTTGTGTAGATAAGAACACTTTTGACTTTTTAGGAATACCTTCTTACTTCGAAGATTATTTCACATATTATACCGCTTCCAACTGGTTGGTGCCTACTTACATATATCGAAATTGGCAGTGTGTCCTATAACGCTCTTGAAAAAATCTCGACAATTTAAACTGTTTGCCAGCTTTTGATTTTGTTTTTTTTTTCATCCTTTAAAAGTTTCGCTTCACAATTCCTTTCATAGTTTCTTCTAATGCGATTTTAATTTTAAAAAATGTCAGCGCTTCTTTGTTCGTTTTCAGTTTCGTTTGCGTTTCCCCCTTAATTTTTCTCGTTTTTTTTTTCCAATGTCCACGTCGTCCTCATCCGCGTAATGCTTAATACAATCAATATATGTATTTGTAAATATGTATGTAAAATATATATATAATATTTTACGATACTCTACTTCGATTTGTGATTTTAAAAGAATTCAACAACTTCTTATTCGTGTGTGTATGTGTGTGGGTGCGTACGCATGCGAGCGTTGTAGTTGCTAAAATGTAAAGTTGCAGCAGACTGTATAGAGAGCTATAGCTTTTGCGATGATGACTATGCGCTCCAATTGCCTGCATGCTGCATACCGAACTATATGAACCATTCTTTTCGCTTTGTAACTTGATGACCAGTTCTTGAATGCAACACTGCTTCATCGGGATCGTCAGCATTGACGGCGCCTTCGTCTTCATGCGTTAGGTAGTCACCTTTATGACGGTGCACGTAGCGGCCAATCAGGAATAGCATAAGCAACAGTAGCAAAAGTAGTATAGCCAATATAACTAAAACAAAGAAAGAATTTCCGGTAAATAGTGTTTTCAAAATGCTATTACGACGTAACTTACAACCAAGTATAATGGAAAAACCACCATATGCCTTGCGCAATTTATCTTCGTCGACCAGCGGTGGAGGGCGAGTTTCATCTTCGATGGGCGGATGTGTGACCGGCTCCACGCCGCAAAAGTCTTCGGTCAATTGAGCTATGTAATAAAAGAAATTATACAATAAACTATGGCCCTTATTATGAGCTGCATTCGATTTTCGATCTTCGCTGGCTATCGAAGATCGAAGATCGAAAGTGAAATTCGTATTATGAGCTATGCAAGCGTGTCGAAATTTTCGTTGAGTATCGAATTTTCTGTCGAACAGAATTTTGCTTTCGATGGTGTAGCGAAGTGTTAGAAAATTGTGAAAAATGTATGATTTTGTATATGTTTTCTTACATTTTGGCGGCTAGACACTAATTTTAAACAATTTTTATTAATTTCATGCAGTTCTAACATCGTGAAAACTAAACACAAGCTCGAAAGGCTGGTTTTACTTGTGAAAGAAAATCCCAATGCTCTGTTGGCACGATCTCTGAGAACAAAATCGTAGCGCTGTTGATAGTTTTAAAATATTTTAAATAGATTTGGCTCACAAACGCCTCTTTAGATGGTCGGAACTTTTTAATGAATCGGTAGACAAATTTCTTAAATATATTGTATATAAAAATATATTCGAAAGACTAATAAACTTAAATGTTTAAGAGAGCATTTGCTACTCCTGGCCAGTTTACTAAGCTCTCATCCTCTGACGAATCGTTGAACCAGAACTCGTTGTACTCATTTTACCACGTTTTTATAAAATTGCTTTCTTTTTTACTTCATTTTAATTAGAACAAATTTGCATAAATATGTATAAGTACACTATTTAGTTTGCTCGATTTGTAAACAAAGCTTCTCAGCGGTGAAAAATATACTATTGTGAACAACCTAAACGAGCGAAATTCACAATAGCGCTATTCTTCATCGAATGAGCGCCATAATACCAAACGAAAATTCGTTCGCTCAGCACTTTCGACCACAGTCGAAAATCGAATGCAACTCATAATAGGGGCCTATATTTTCGAATACATAAGCATAGAAAAAAATTGTGTGTGTTATACTGAAAAAATTTGATACTACATTCCGATTAAATGACTATGCTACTGGAAATGTTTTTGGTTTTAAATTATATGAATTGAACTACACGGTAGGGGGTAACTTTATTTTAGTGACGATTTTTTAATTCCCCTCTGCCGACAAAGAAAATTTACTTCAAATAGATCACTTACTTCCTAATGATTTCACATTTGCTGGCGGATTCTGTTGGAACATCAATTTCAATGGATAAATATCATCGAACTGCACTCGTGACACACAACCGACGAAACCATCTGTCATCGATTCATTTTTACCGATGTACATATATTGTATATTATTGAATTGTGCATCCGCACTCGCTTTTATGTCGAAGTTGTACTCGACTGGCTCGTAATTGTCCACCGTAAGGACGACTGTCGAGCCGCTGTTTTTACGCGAGAAGCGCACATCGTGGTATTGTCCCAAGCCGAAATGTTTTTTGGGGAATATAATTTCCTGCCGCTCAAAACCAAAATCGAATACACAACGCAAATGACCTGCAAAGGAATAGTCTGTGTTTAGCATGCGAAAATCAATAAAAACAAAAATATATTTTGGTTCAGTAAAACCGATACACCCACCTGAGTTCGATATTTGAATGGTCAAATATTCGCCTGTCAGATTCGAGGAGAAACCGAGTAAGAAACCTTTGGGTATGGTAGTTGTGAAGCCAACGCGTATATTTTCTGCAATTGTCGAACGGAAAGAGCCCTCGAACTCGTAGCGAATGATGGAGCTAGTGCGCAAGTTAACGCCAATTTCTGAAAGTGCAAGGGTTAATCAGAAAAGATATGTAATGAGTGTCAAAACTAAAAAGCTTACCATCTGCACAAATAGGTCCCTTAAATGCACTCCAACGGCAATCGCACGAGTAGCCATCATAGCGTTCTATGCATGTACCATTGTTCAGACATGGACTGGACTCGCAGCGGCCCACACAATCGGCGCTCACGCCATACAGACCACGCAGCGCATATTGCTTCAGATCTACCATTTTTCCATTGAGTAATAAGGCACGTATGCAGCCCACATAGCCGTCACGATACTCGGTGGTGGCGCCAATAACTAAATCTGAGGTGAGATGCAAGGCGCGTACGGGACCTGGCGGCTCACGTACCTCCGCTTTGATGGAACCATCAACAACGAGACGCGCTTCCTTGCTGTTCATTTTATTTATGTTTATTTTTTTTTTGGCAGAAATAAAATTGATTAGTAAGCACACTAAATGGAACCAACTTGGCAAATATCAACTCACCGATTGCGTTCCACACTCACAGTGTGCCACTCATTGTCATTTAAGTGATAGCTTGTGCCAACATTCACGCCAAGTGGCCCGCTGCCTGCTTGATATTGGAACTGCAACTTATTGCCGCCATTTATACTCAATTTTATATAATCGGTCGGTCCAGTCGCGTGGAAGAGTACAGCATTCTCTTGCGTCGTCCTGAATTCCAAATATATATCACCGGAATGGCCCATATCGAACGGCGGCAAGTTGATGGTGGCATCTGCAATGCGGAATGTCACAACGTTGGTGAAGAGGTCATCACCCTCACAACGCAGCGGACCCAGGGTGTAACGTCCCTGTTTCTCATCAAGCGGCGTGCCAGTATCACCGAACTTCACTGCACGTACTGGCAAGTGCTCCTTCTCGCGTATATCGCCACCATCCTCAGTCCACTCAAGACTATTAGAATCGCAATTGCACCACTTTGTTGGGTCGTGACACTTGCCGAGTATGCCACATTCACATTTACGGGAGCCAGGCAATGCGCCAGCCCAGTAGTCCATCGGTTGATTGTGACGCGATACCCACCAGGAGAATGGACGGAAATTACCAGCTTCAGCTGCAGTAATCAAAAGAAAAAAGGCGTGTTTTATATAGGAATAATTTCCACAATGAAAAAGAAAGGCTCACAAGGTGAATTGAAGAGGCGCGACGAACGGCAGGAGTAACTCAATCGCTGCCAGCATGTGTGTGAACGATTGAGCAAAGCTTCAATTTGTAGCATATTTGCATCATAGATGATATTTTGTTCGAATGAGCCAGGCTCCTGGAAGCCATCCACAGTTGTTGTATGCTCTTGGCTGTGACTGAGTGTTGTTATAACGCGTCCATCAGCTGCGGGCAGAAATAGTTTAAAATTAAAGTAAAGCACACATCATTTCAAGTCAATACTTACAATAGAATTCGCAAGTAACAGGGAACGGTTCCAATGGCCCACTGCCATCAACATCGATTTTCAAATTGACGCGCTGGTGCACATGACCAACGTTCTTGTAAGCTTGGCATGACAAAGGATTATTCGCTGCAAGAGTAGAAGAACATTTTTTTAAACTTTCTTTCAAATTACGCCCGATTATAAAACTCACAAGTATGACAAACTGCGCCCGCATAGCCTGTACTGGCACAATCACAGAAGAATTCCATTGAATTCTGGTGGCAAACACCACTATGTTGGCATGGATTTGGATTGCAACGATCAATCATTTGACAGGCATCCACTACCACCTCATCGCCACAACACACCTCTTCCCCTTGCACCCAATCCTTTGGTAATTTGTAATTTCCATCAACCAATATCAGACGCATGCAACCCACGAAGCCATTTTTATCTACACCGCCCGCGATGTAGTAAACTTTTCCGGTGGAGATTTGTATATTCTTCGTGGTCGTCATGGGACGTTGATCGATATCGAGCACCAAGCGATTGCGCGCAATTGTCAATACGAACGAATGCCATTTTCCATCGTTGAACTGTTCATCATAATTGTCCAGTATAATGCGTGGCTTATCGGCAAGTTTCATATCCAGTTTTACTTTTCCATATTCCAAAAATACGCGGATGTAGCCACCTGAGGCAAACTCATGATGCAGCATTACACCCCTGTCCTCGTACGTGCGGAAGTAGAAAGAGACATTCATTGAGTTTTGTCCCTCATAGCCTTTTATGCGCACATAGGAGGCGCGCGTGGTGAAAGTGACTGGGTAAATAGGTGGCGATGGGCAGGCATAAACGGTGTGGTATTTGGTATAGCGATATGCATCACCATACTCGAAGCTATCCTTCATCGCACGCACGAAATTTGTAGAGTTGATGAACAAGTTCTCCATGCAGCCAGTGAAATTCTGCGTCACCATAATACCTTCCTGGACATTGGGTACGCCACCTAAGTACAGCTAAAAAGTGAAGAGCCATTTGATGAAATTACTAGCTTTTTGAGGAATAAATTAGTTATCACTTTCACCACATACCGCACGATTCAAATTCAGCCGCGTAAACTCGCCCTTAATGCGCCCACGCACAATAACACGATCCACAGAGAAGATGATATCGCGTCGATTGCGTGATATCACCACATCATGCCAAACATTATCATCCAACAAACTGCCAACCGAAAGCGAAGTCATCAAACTGCTGCCCAAATCCAAATTCAATATCATTTTATTATCCTTCAATTGCAAGGCGAAATAGTCGCCCTGTGTGCCGCGTGAATACATGAGCACGCCATTGGCGAATGCGGTTTTGAAGCGGAAACGTATTGACTCGCGTGTGGAAGCAACCGGCTCATATTGCAGATCATAAGTGACCAAACCGGTGCCATTGAAGTATAAATTTTCAGCGACTAGAAGGAGAATAGAAAAGTATTAGAGTTTTTTCCTTGAAAAAATAAAATAAAAAATAAAAAATTGTGCTACAACTCACCATAATCGCAGCCATAGAGTTCAACACGCATCGAGATCCGATCGTGCCAGCGTGTTGGATTGATGCGCACCCATTGAGCAATGATAGGCACCTCGAAAACATTATAGTGTATGGAATTGCCATCGGAATTGCCCTTGAACATCTGTAGAAGTATTTTACAAGTTTTTTTTTGTGTTTATTAGTTGTGGCGAATTTGCAGTTCGTGCAACATTTAAAACCAAAACCAAAACCAAAGTGAGTGTAAAGGAGGAACATGCAGTGAGTCTGTTGTGAGGCGATATCTACTTTTCACCGGCAGTATGCTAAGCGGTATGCAAATGTAAAGGTGCAATACAAGAAAATAACTCTAAAAGCAAAAATATTGTTAAGAGGTTCTCAAAAATTACATATAAAAACCAAAACCAGGTTGCCTAAATGATTTATTTTCACCACACTTATTCATTTTGTTTATAAACATACAAACATACATATGTATAAGATCTCCGGGTTCCGTAAAAAAATTTTAATTAGCTTTCCTTTTTTTTAAGTAATGGTAAAGATGTTTGGGATGGTAATGACAATGGTAAGGGCAATGATATTGGTAACGGTACTTGAAATGGTAATGGTGCTGGCATTGGTAATGACAATTATACTTGTTATTGATGATGGTAATGGCAATAGTAATAGTAATTGTTGAGGTAATGGCAATGGTAATGGCGGTGGCAAGACAATGACAATTTCAATTGAAATGGTCATTACAATGTTAACTTCGATGATAATGGTAATGGTAACGGCAATGATAATTTTAGTGGCAATGATAATGGTAGTAGTATTGGTAATGGTAATGGTAATGAAAATTGCAGTGACCATATAATGCCACTGGTAATGTCAATTGTAATGGTAATGGCAATGATAATGGTCGTAGTATTGGTATTGGTAATGGTAATGAAAGTGGCAATGCCAGTTGCCACGATAATCCTCTTTCATGTATTGCTTGTGCTTTCGCTTGTTTTTCTTTAGTGATCGTAATGACACTTGTATTGTTAACGATAACGGTAAGTTAATGGTTTTCGATTTATGCCTCAACTTCTGCTCTTGATGGCCAAGGCCTCAACACCTGGATTCAATATCACAATGAACAGTAACTACAAAATACTCCCTTTTTAGGATGAGTACTTAATGATATTTACATAGTTTACATTCATTTTGAATGAGTGATATGCGCCAATGGACACCATTTCCGGTCCAATTGAAGTAACAACTGATATCATCAAATTCCCATGAAACCGGACTGTTTCGAAAAATCTGGGTTGAATAAAGGTGGCCTTCGAAGAATTTGAGTAATAGAATCCCAGAAAAGATTAGGCGGCAATTATCTGCTTTTTAGACAAAAGACGACTGAGTGCTACAAATTATTCGAATTGGAAACTCGAATAGATTATACGACGCTGGGCCTCGGCTATGGCTGATAGCAGTTTTTTCGATTGATTTTATTCGTGCATACATTCCTAAAAATTTCGCATATACTGTGTTTCTGGAATTATATTTAATTTACGAGAATTCTATTAATTTCCCTTGACACGAACGGACGTAAAACTTGCTGCACCCAAGGCGATTTCATATAAGATGGTAGCGGTAGTACAAAAACAAAAACTAACGTGTAATTTGTTTTCGCTTTCGATACACAAATGTCAAATTTCAGCTATTCTTCGCTTACTTTCGCACCACTCATAAGGGAGTTTTGACATATGTGTACCAAGGCGAATTAAAGCAGCTGTTCTACCAACACCATCTTATAAGAATTCGCCTTGGCTGCACCTTTTCAAGAGAATCTGAGAAACTTGCAGATTTTTCGTATAGTTCTAAAAAAAAAAGCCGAATGAAAAGTAAACTATGCAAGCAAATTTTTATCTTTTTACCAATTTTCTTCAAATCTGATAAATCTTCAAAATGATTCCTACAAGTCCTAAAAATCAAGATATAAGCCCATTTCTTTACGAAAAAAGTACATCCATCTTTTGTAACCATGATTTTAAAATTAATATAAAAACTACAAACAAATGATATAAATTTTTTAGGTACATTCTGTCCCATTTGGACACATGTATGTATTAGTGACTCTTTTTGTGAATCGAGTCCTTGGGCAGCGGATACTTTTTCTTTTTGTTTATGTACATATTTTTTTAATGTTTAGGGTTATTTTTTTCTAAGCACGGCCAAAGACTGCTACACGGACCGTTCCCACGACAGTCGGGTCTACGTAACCGGAACGACCCAGATTTATATCTGGCCAAGGACTGTCACTCCAGCAACACTCTTTGGGGAATTTGTATGCTGCTACAACAACAACAACTGCTACACGGAAAGGTGTTCTGCACAAAAATATTGTTTAGCGAGTTTATATTTCCGGTGTCAAAATGCAAATTTAAGACCATTTTCCAATGGTTTCCCATGGGTCGGTGAAAGGTTTCAAGGAGCCAGGTGTGACTTTTTACACAAAGTTTGAACTGTACTCTTTCTAGTGGGTAGGATATCAAGAGCCACGCCCCAACCTCCTCCGCCCACTAATCCAAAAACAGTGGGCAAATAACTAAACACTACCCAAGAAAAAATATTATTTTCATTTCATTTAATATATTAGTGGCTGGAGACTGCTTACCGAGTACTGTCATACATTTATAATATTAGGCACAATGCTAGTGCTAACCTTTAAGACGTGCCTTTAACCTTAAGCTACATACATACATATACTACATATTTATAAAGTTAAGCACTTTTTAGATCCTGGATGAACGCGATATTCGTGCTCATATACTCTTTATACTTGGGCAATCAAATATGAGAGTTCTTATAACCAAGAAGGTATAAAAAGTTGCTCAGAGACTTCACGAGAGGTAGTCCATCTCCTTCTGTCGTATATCCCTCGGTTGTATGGACCACAGAAAAATTGAGAATGATGCAGGCTCTGTTGGACTGCGTCTTTCGCTGGCGTAGCAGCAGCTCGTTTGTTGCTACACCTGGTAGAGTTGTGCAACTGTTTACTAGCCCCTTGACACCGTTTTGCACGGGCCCAAAGCTCTTAAAGCCGTCTGGCTTTCCGACACGATGTTGATAGTGACCCCAGTAGTTTTTTTACAAAGACTTGCGGCAAATAGTGTGTAGCTTGTTGAAGACTTAAACGTTAAGAAAGAACTACAAAAAAATAAAATTGCCTAACTGGACTAAAAACAATTTCAAAACTCAGACAAAACATAAATAAATGCAAGACAACAACTGGACGAAATGAACAACACAATACAGTAATTTGAAATCTTCTACTCTCCTACATCTATATACATATGTACTTATGTAGGTTACTCGTACTTTACCTGCGCCTCATTCGATGGATTCACATACGAACGCCAGTATTCGCCATCGTCCGAATACTGAACAATATACTCGGTTACGAATTCTTGTGTGTGCTTTCGGCCCATTGTGGCGATTTTGCGCGTTTTACGTGTATCACCCAAATCGAGTGTTAGAAAGTGATTGTAAGTATTCTCGACCGGTGTCCAAGCGGAGTCGCCTTTATGTTAGAGTGTTATTGGTTATTTACGCATTTTTATAGGGATTTTTTTTATTTTAATAATTGTAGGAAAAATTAAAAAAGTGTGTTACAATTAGTGTAGTATAAACAGTCAAGTAATTGGCCCGTAGTCATAGTCAAAATAAAGTCGACTTTAAAGTTAGTTGCAGCTTTTTTGACAGATATCCCATTGAAAATTATGTCAAAAAGCTGCAACTAACTTTAAAGTCGACTTTATTTTGACTATGACTACGGGCCATTAAGTTTTAAAGATTAATTTATATTTCCAGCACCAACACACTCGCACCATGTTTTAAATTAAATTAAAATAGAATTTTTAAATAGCAAAAATAAAAAATAAGTAATAAAAAAATTAACGTAATACAGTTGCTTAGTAAAATTACGAAAATTTAGCAGCTAAATAATGCAAAAGCAAAAAGCTATTCAACATTTTTTAGTGCAGCAAATATAAAGCAAGTGAAATAAGCGCATTAGAAGCTCAACTACAGATTAGCGCAATAATACTTAACGGGAAAAGAGGATGTGAAAGGAGGCGGTAAGTCGTTGTTAGTGCACTAAATCACCACTCTATAGTAAATCACTGTAAATAGTTTTATGCCGCCCCTCAAATACGTATTGTACGTATGTATGGATGCAGTGGCGGATTTAAATATTTGCCGCCCCTAGGCAATTCATAACTTGCCGCCCTTTTTTCACGAAAAAAAAAAATATATATATATATCAAATATGATTGTTATTGTCAGTGCTTTATTACAATATAGTTCGTTAATAATGAAATACATAACGGAATTAACAAATTCGACATCAGCATGGATAAGGTATTCAACAAAAACCCTCTTTCAAACACTTCTTTTTCACAGTTCTTTACGTCTTGATTTTTCAGCTGCGAATTCGCGGATAATATCTTCACAATCGATAGATAGAAACAAATCTGACTCTATAGTCAGCTATACTAAGGAAAAATTCGCAGCGTAATTCTAATTTTGAATTGTATTGAATGAGATGAATCATTAATAATATTTTACAGACACAAACACAATTTCAAGTGCAGCTGAATCCAAATAAATTTTTTTCTTTAATTTAGCTGTCTTAAATTTTGCCGCCCCTTAATTCTGCCGCCCTAGGCTTCAGCCTATGTTGCCTGTACGATAAATCCGCCACTGTATGTATGTGCATATTTATGTGTAGAGGGTGGCATATGTCAAATTTTTTCACGAACCCAATTAGCATTACTTGACGTATGTTATTTTTTTAGTTTTTTAGCTGTACAAATATGCCCTTTTTAGCTTGGCTTGCTTAAAAACACTGTGGGTATGCCATTTTGGTTTTCGCATTTTTTTTTTTTTTTTGGTCTAGTGTTTGTTAAATTTTTTGCTCTGCGTTTTCTAACCTTTCATTATTTTGGGGTGAGCTATTAACTGGGGCTTACCTTTATGTTGCCACCTGGTTCTTTGTAATCGGCGAATTCCAGGTCTGTTATGCCATAACTAATGGTATACTCAGTGACAAATTCATCGCTGTGCGGTCGTCCTTGCAGCGCGATGTGTGTCACATTTCTTACATAACCCAAATCGATGATAAGTCGCTGATCAAAATCGGAATTTTTAGCGGACCAAGAAGTACCGGCTATGTAAATTGTGGTGAGTATGTATTTGCATTTGTTGCAAGTGTAGGGATGTAATGGAGGTTTAATATTGGAAAAAAATAAAATAGAAATAGAAGAAAAAATATAACCAAATAAATTAACTACCAAATAAATAAAGCGAATGAATTAAAAATTAATACATACTTAATATGAAAACTGTATATTTTTATTTAAAAAAAAACTGTATATTACTATTTGATGAATACTATTTTAATAAAATATTGCTACTTACAAAAAACACAATAAAATGGATTTTTAATGGCAAATAAAGATTCCAAAATGCATTTTTTTTACACTAGCTGGATCATACATAGTACATATGTACATATATTTATTTAATCTACTTACGCGCTACTTACGAGCAATTGACAAAAAGTTACACATTAAAACTAGATTTTTAAGCAAAAAATGGAAAGTCTAACCCAAAGTACTCAAAAAACAAAAGAATGAATGAGGTGGAGCAAAATTTTAGTACCAAGTGTGGTTACTTAACGATTGAACATGACGTTGTTTACCCACTGCGTATTGTTTCGACGTTGCCTGACCAAAGGGCACGTGAAGAAGTGATTAGTGTTATATGCAGTCTAATCTAGGTTAGTACGAGTTCAGCCTGCTGAAGCTTTTTCTCTGCAATTTGTGGTGATTGAACTACTAGAACGCCATTTATGAGATGAGAGTTAGAGAATGTGGTGAAAACAGTTTATTGCTTCTCTATACAGCGTCGGATTCAGTGGTCGTTGAGTGGAATGTCCTAGGCGGAAGTTCTGCCTTTAGTATGTAAGTGTCTGCTAGTAGTAGCCGATCAAATGAAGTCCTGGCAACATCAGAAGACATCCCGTAGCTATCTGGTTGGAACGTCTGTAGCTTCATCCCCTACATCCTACTAGTCCCCAGTGATCATATTGGCACAACGTAATTTAGAAGCGGACGACCGATTGCCTTGCATGTGACCAGTAATTTTTCTTTGTGTTTGCCCCAGGTGCTGCCGGCAAGCGACTTGAAAACTTTGTTGCGGTTTTGTGCTTTGTTGGCAATAAGTTGCATTTGTGTGCGCAGAGAAAGAAAGTAGGCTGTCCAAAGTGAACTCTAGGATCTTCGGGTCAGAATTTGCGTGCGATCGACGAGAATTACCAGCTGCAACCTGATCTCAATCGTGCAGGTGGTAAATATGCTTGCTGTAAACCAGTTCAGCGAGAGAGGCCATCAATGTCATTACCGGACGCCAAAATGGAACAATCGTCAGTCAGCGCACAAGATCAGCTGGGACAGTTTTGAAATAAAAAAAAAAACTCAACAAAAGAGGAGACAGGACACCTTGTGCCTTGTGGGACCGCCTATTCAATTTCCCTTGGTTCCAAAATTTGGTCTCGAAATATTACTGTCGAATGCCAACCACTAAAATAATTGGTGCCTACGTTTTCTGGCAACGTGGAGTGACAAGTCTTCGACTAAGACGATTCTCTCTGTAAACACTGTGCACTTTACGGAATCCGCCGAACCCAATTTATTCAGCATTACCAAGCATATTCCTTAGGAATTACTGACTTTTTAGGCTTTTTCCTTCCCGATGGCCAACTAAACTGAAAATAAGAAGCGCGGTGTTTTGGTATTATCCTCCGAAGAATGCAGTGTGAATTGCCGCCTGAAATAGCTCGCGTATCCGAATGGAATTTAGACTCTGTTATCGCGCCTCGTCGAGTTTGGCATGAACCTCAGTGTTGACCAAAGCTTATTCATACCTTAGGTAAAGTCACATCTCCCGCTTTTTCCAAGAACAGAGTGATATCCATATAACGATCAATATACCGTCATGCCGACTTATGTAGATCCTACTTTGGATTGCGTTCAGTTCAGTTGGAGTACTTTCGCGTGCCTTGTGAGGCTGGGCCTGATTCGGGGGATGAGATATTGTTTAACTTTTATTTGCTGTTCAAGCCGCTGTTGGGTTGACTCATATAGCATTGCGGCTTATCCTTGTCTGGAGGCTTATCCACATGGAGCCGATAGTGGGAGAAACCAAGAACTCTTGGTTGGTGGCTGGTTAGTGCTCACACGGGAGTTGGAACGGGAATAAGGTTTGGGAGAGGTGATAAGAGAGGGAGTTTCCGATTGCCCACATGCCCACGGGTAAGCTTTGCTTGCCGTTTGGGTTAAGCAGCAATCGGCCACATACCGCATTGTCCACACCTTGTGTGATTTATGGCCGGAGTAGATATTTATGCGATTCATCCTTGGCGTGTGTGGCATCTAGACAAGCTGTAGTTCGGTTGGAACAGAAGTAGGTTTCTTGTCCCGGGGTTGGACTCGATCACAGCCCGAATCCGAACGATGTAAATTAGATATGTGTGTATGTATGTATAGCTAAATGAATACACACTTACATACATATGAATCATAAAAGCCATAAATTTGATCCTGCCCTCAACTCAGCTCAGTCATACACAATTAGTTACCAGCTCTTGTTTACCCAGAACAAACCAGTGTATCGATTGATTTGTAAGCGAAACACCCTCTGATTAATAGAAACGTTTTGGCAATTGTTTAGTACAAATAGAAGCACGTGAACCCTAAAACATTAAATTAACTGGGAAGAATAGTAAAAGGATCAAAGCTAATGAGGATTGCAGGCGTGCAAGCATAACCAATATGAAATGCAGCTCATAGACCAAATGCAAGATTTTTGGGGGAGGGAGTTAATGGATGGCTAAAATAGGAAAAGAAACTATACATGCGGAAAGGTCAAAGCAAAATCGACCGAATGGTAGCGCCATTTGTAGACAGGCAATAAATTTTAAATTGAATAGGTGACACTAAACAAAAAAAATCAACAAGGCACACGAGTCGAAAGGTATTTAAAATAATTAAATTGCTACTAAGCAATAAAGCGAAAGTCTAAACGCAATTGAAATGATTATCGAAATCGCCAAAAATCGGTTACAAAAGAAAACAAAAACAAGACAAATAGTAGGTAAGTACTACATGCATAAGTATGTATGCATGTTTTTTGAACATAAAAGGGACGTCCAAACGGGCGAACTACCCTCGAACTTATGGCAGCACAGGGGATAATGCAATTTTTGGAAATAAAATCACTGAAATTGCTGCAATGCGCTTTACAAGAACACGAAATTGCTATTGAACTATGGCGACAGATCCGGTGAGCATACACACAAACATAAGTAAATGAATGGGCGAGCGAGTCCGCCTTTGACAGCGGCATCTCGCCTTTTCTGGGTATGACGGGAGTGCCAAAACTAAATGGTCACGCGGCATAACAAATATGCTTGCTGGCATTTCATTGTTTGTTAGGAGCACTCAAATGCTGTGAATTTCTCACAAACTAGGGGAGACAAATACAAGGACTTAGTGGGTATGCTGCAGTGCGATTAGGGTGATGCATTTGTGAATGAATGGATGGATAGAATTTCATACGAAAAAGGGTGAAGGCAACCGACAAGGACAACGGCTATGCTGCAATTATTTGAGTGGAAAGCGAAAGAAAAAGGCGCATACAACACGGGACACTGTGGTTGTAACGGATATAAAAACAATTGAAAAACAAAATAACAATTGAAGGGTTTATTTGCAAAAAAAAAAAAAAAAAAACGAAAATACTATTTTAGTTTGCTTGAAGCGTTTAAGGATCATTGGAAGTGATTCGAACCGCTTGCCAACCACAAAGCACTCGAGCTGTCGGTAAAAAAAACGGCAGGTGCGAACTTTTTAATTCTGAACCCCTGTGGTTTTACATTACACAGTAGAAATTTACAAATTCATTTTAGGGATTTTCTGCTGCATTAAGCATATTGGAATAAGAGATTTTTTTTAGTTGAATTATAAATGAATAAACGACTGCCAAATAAATTATTCGCGAAAGGTCTTAAAATGTTTTCCGCCGTAAATTCAAATTTTCTTTTTTTTTTGGTGAAGATAAAAAATATTAGCATCACCTAGTTTTATTCTTTAGCTACCAGGTCATGTCTATCTTAGCTTTTATTCACATACATATGTATATGTAAATTATAATAAAAATAAGAAAACAGCTAAGCTAAACCCCATTGCTACATGTGTCGGGCACAAATGACACAAACGAGCATACATATATATACATACATACGCACATATGTATTGTTCGCATAATAATTTTGCCGCAGTGCTTCGGTTTGCGCAATATTTTTATTGCTAGCTCATTGATAAATAGCGCCGCTAAAGGCGGGTTGTTGCGGAGGAGTTAGAATTTAAGCGCAGCGCCAACATACATACATATTTTTGTGTAATGAACAAAATCATTCAAACTTTATACAATAAGAACTATCTGTTAGAAAACAAATCGAAATAAATGCGACCAAGTTAAACAAACAAAATAGTTTCGTTTTTTTCTGCTAAAGGGGATTTCTCCAGGTTAAGCAATAAATTATTTTACTTTAATCTTATCAACATAAGATGCAATAGCAGTATAAAAACATTCCAGTAGATAATTTCACGAGTTAAAAGCCCTTCCGAAAGGCCTTCCTCTCTACAGTCCTTTCTCCTTTCTTTTTTGTATGGAGTGGCACAAATAGAAGGGCTTCTTCTTTCGCTACCCATGGGAGGCCTTCCAGAAGGGCTTTTATAGGACATGCTTCAGAAGGGCTTTTGCGCGAGTTCTTTTAAAGTTGCTTCTTCAGTTTATAAAAATCATACATCTTTGAAGTAGTTTTGCTTGCGGATTATATCAAACATGTGTTATTGCAACTCAAAATGTTTATTGAAATTCATTTGTAATGCTAAATAATATAAATTTATGCATTCGCGTAAAATGTAAATGGAAAAGCCCTTCTAGAAGGCATGCAAGGAAGCACTTTTTTCAGCCCTTCTTGGGTAGGCCTCTGAGAATGGCGTTACTTAAGAATGCCTACCTAAATTATCAGCTGGGATTAAATATATATACATTTTATACTACAATTATACATATTTTTGAATTTGTCCTCCCAATTCTGCTTAAAATTAATTCGCCTCAAATCATATGTAACTCCTCAGCTCTTTCTTCGTTCTTTTCTTAATGCCTTCCTACAGTACTGCACTACGTCGATGCTTGTTGCGCTTTCCGTCTCAACCAAGAGTTCATCCATTTTTAGTAGCTCGAATTTCCCCTCCTCTGGCTTGCAATTTCTAAATGCGATAGCCGCACAATACTTTGGATGCAGCAAGTGTTCCTCAAAGTGCCAGTCATGCATAAGCATGTCATTACAACGCAAAGTTGTGCCTGTCAACGGCGATTCCGCAACACTGAGTTCTCGCGAACTATCCACTTTGAAGCTAATTTTTTGTAAATCAATTGTTATGCCAACGCCAAGTTCTTTGACATAAGCCTCCTTTAAACACCAATGACGCATAAACGCTTGCACTTGATCGAACTCATTGTGGTGTGGGCGTCGTATGTAACGCCATTCGCTGTCCGAGAATTTGCGCTGCATTATACGAAAGAATTCCGAAAGAGACTTCCCACCGCTATATTCAATTTTCATCACATCAACACCAACGCCAAATGTGGGTTCACCTACTTTCAGTTTGGTGTCCATCGAAACGCCCGCAAACAACACAAAATTTCCCTGATGCGATACATTGAAGCTCATTTGATTGGGGCATTCGTTTCCGGCTTGTGTCCAATAAGGTTTTCCACGCACATCGCGTGCAAATTGCACTTCTTTATAATCCATGCCACTTTGGACACTGACGTATTTTCGCATCAACAAACGCCCCACCAGTGATGAAAGAAAATCATCAATGTAAAAGAACTTCTGCAGCCGGTCACGTTCCTCAGCTTGGATGACAGCGACCGCCTGCGCCAACTGCGGTAGTGTTGGTGACCAGCTAGCCAAATCGACGGCCCAGCGCGTACATTTGTGCTGAGCCATTGCAGTGATAATTGGAAACCAACTTTTAATTGGTAACAATTTGTTTATTTTTATTTATTCAGAAGAAAAAAAGTAACTTTGTAAAGCTTCATTTCAATCAGAACTGTCAAAGTGTTGAAACAAGTTCAAAACAAAATAAGAAAGAGCGGTTTATAAAAAGAGAGAAGAGACCAACGCAGCGCTACCAACTGTTGAAAAGCAAATTAATGTAAACATAACGTGAAAGGGAGAAAATACACTATAAAAAATAAATGCTAAAAATTTTAGGTTGCAGTCGAAAAATATTAATGATTGATGCAGTTTGATCTTGCTTGGGAAATTTAGGGTATTAAGTATTCCATAAAATAAGCTCCGCTAGCGTAGGTATGTACAAAAGTAAGATTAAAATTAAAAAATTTTAAGTTTTAAACTTCGTATAATTAAGCCATTATGTAATAAAACGTTTACTAATACCATGGTGAAATCACCATGTACTAATACGTAGATACATATATACATATGATAATCGAAAAATATTACTAAACAAATCATTGAGCAAAATCAAGTTAAAGTATAGATCTCTTCTCAGCATGGCAATTCGCACACTCAAAACAAAGTACACATCTACATACATACATATGAGTGTGTTTTTTTTTTCGAAATAACCATCACTAGCCAAAAGAAAAAATAATACAAGAAATGTATGTTCCATTCACAAAATAAAACACAAATGAATTATTTTTCTTTCACACAAAAACTCTTCAATAAACTTAGGCAAATTGACGACTTATTGTTCAATGTTATGGTACTGTAAAATCATTATATATAAACCTAGAATTCAAAAAATAAAAACTCTCTCATGTCTCTAATCCATGTCTTATACTTTCTCCTTAGAAAAATGAGCAACTTAACATTAGTAAGGGATTTATTTTATGATTTTGAAATTGTGTCGATATTGCAGAGGAGAGAGATGTGCCTACATATGTACATATATATTATACTTTGAATTGTCGTTATAGCAGAGGATTCTTAAAGATTTTATAATATATGTCCAAATATTTGAGAAAATGTTGTGTTCGTTTCTTAAAATGTTACTACACTCTTATAAGGCAAAAAAGGCACATTCTCTGCCCTGAGCTCTGTGAGGGGAGATGTTTGCCCTGAAATCAGGTGATTGTTTAAGTTTGATTCAGCTGAATATTGGGCGTTTTTTTACACGCATATTTATCTATTTATTCATACCATACAAATTTTAAGTGCAGATACATACACGGGTAAAAAAACGGCCTATTGTTAGATATTTTATTATACTATAAGTTTCTATCTCCTAAAGTCCTTTATAGGCAGATTATACTGTAAATACATATACATAAAAATACATTGCTTATATGTATATGTATGTACAACACTACAAAATTTTATACACAAAATAATTGGAATTTTTTAAAGATTCTGCGTGAATTTATTTATCGACACAACAACTGGTGAGATATCTGATAAATGTGTACTAAGTGGTAGAAATAAATATTTCGAAAAGCAGCATGCGATTTTTCATCAACACTTACCGTTAAGGCGTGCCTTCTCGGGTCCACGATCGTTCAATGATGAAGTGGCCGTCAGGACGGCATGCTCCATAAGTGGCTGATTGCAATCATAATCAGAGAAGTAGTCACTATATGAATCTGAAAGTAGAAAATAATATCAAAATATGTACATATATTACAATTCGGATGCTTATGCTTGTTTGTGAAGACCGCGTAGTTTTTCTTATAAAGATATAATTGTTTATTTTCATGTCTACAATGACCTACTTAAGCGCTGTGATATTTTTCCTTTTTGGCACTTGTCCAGCCCTGGTAAGCAATTCATTAATTAGTTTTGTGCAAAAAAAACTCTATCTCATATTTCAAAAAAGTAATGAAAATTACTGCAAAGTTCAATACAAACTTTCGGGCACTTTCGGACTCATACTCATATGTATATCTGCAGCACTTTTGTTTAGAAATGTCGAGTTCTGTTGAAAATATGCAGCTACACCTAACCAAGTCACCTCCCCTTACAATTAATGCACAAGTCAGTGCTTACCTACAAGTAAACATTTCATACGTCCATGCATAAGTAAACAATAACGTCACTCAACATTTTTTCGCAATACAAAAAGGAATCTTCCTTGGCGCAATGTGCCACTTGATTTACGCTCTACAGTTGGGTATTTTGTACTTACATAATTACATATGCGAGTAGGTATGTAATTTTATAGGTACAACACAAAAGCGTCTATAAATACACAATGCCAGATATTATCCTGCTCATGCTAAATTCTTATATTCGTATAATTTTGTATATACAGTGGAGGTATGTACATACATAGTTACATACAATTAATAATCAACGCCAACAAGCCTACAACCAACCAAATGTGGTATAAGCGTAGTAAGCCACCCCTTTTGAGCAGTTCAGACATTTTGCCCTCCGTCGTCACCATCGTCTGTGCATGCTATTTCATTTGTTTTGCTTGCATGCAACCTTATCCTGGCTAAGCACCACTACTTAAGTGCGCCCAACACAAAGAAAAAGTGCAACAATTGATGACATTTATGCCTTGATAAACACAGCGAATGTAAAGCCAGTGATTTTCGCTTAAAAATGTCTACAAATTTTGAACATACATATGCGAAACTCAGGACAAGGCAGAATATGTATTCAATATAATTAGCATTGAAAACATACATATGTATATGAATTTAGGTGGTTTACAAGGTGTCGTAACCCCGCAAACATATTCTGAGCGCTCAGAATATATGAGTCGGAAAGGAGTCCTAGGTAAGTAAGAAATATGAGTTTCAAAAACAAACATTTTTTTACTCTTATATGAATCTTTTAGGAGTCATATATGATCCAAGTTATGAGCCAGCACTTTGTGCCAGTATAAAAACAATAACGACTAGAAATTTATATCTAAACTTGTTTATACAGATATGAAAAAATAATTAGGAAGGAAAAATAAACAAAATTTAGCTGCAGCAACTGCTATTACATGAATGCTGCAATATATGAACATATGTATATATGTATGCGCAGAGGTTTGTATATAAATATCCAACAGTATTTGAAATGAATTCCTTGCTAACATGGCTCTAAAGTAAGTTCATTAAGAGAGTTGAAGAATAAAGCCAATAGGAGTCACAGAACAGCATACAAGGAGCTCCGAAAGTAGGCATTTATGAGGCCAATAAGAGTCATTTAAGAGCTTCAAAAAGAGTCCAAAATGAGCCGTATATGAGGCCAATAAGAGTCCAATATGACTCATATTGAGGCTCATTTGATGTATGAATTTAAGCTCATATAGGTCGACCTTCGCAGGAAGGGAAACACCCTCATTTCGGACTCTTAAATGAGCTCATAATGAGCACAAAGGCTCCGAAATGGGACTCCTTAAAGACTCATTTATGACTCCAAATGTTTGCTGGGAAGTGCCTTTTGTCGTTTAACGGCCGTATAATATAACTTAAAATTTTATTCAACAAAAAATTTGTTAAAATTACAAATTTTTCTTTTTTATTCTTTTTATGTAGTATCGGAAGTTGGCCTCATTTGTATTTCAACGATAAATATTTGTGTGTCGTGGGCTAATAAATAATTAAGTGTTTAAAATTTGTGTGTGGTACTCAAACGAAACCAAATGGAATGCACTCTCGAATGTGGTATTAAAGCGCGAATAGATCTAGATCTAAAAATACTTATGTATATGTGTCCTACAATATTTTTGGAAAAAGTGGAAAGTGAATTTAATTAACAGCTTCTAGATTTCAAGCATACGGATTCGCATTCAGACATGTCTGTATTACATTTGCAGCTAAGAATAAAATAATAATATGCATGTATGCGAATGTGCATATATGTATTCTTTGTTTTGTCAATAAATGTATGTATGTATAACAGATTGGTGTTGTCTTGGAGTTCAAATCAGTTGTTTAATCAACAACATTAATAGCTACAGGCAAATTTAGTTTTATGGGCGCATATCTGGAATAATAGCAGTGTGTTTTTCAACATATTTGCGCATACATACATACATACATACATACATACATACATATACTTATGTATAGTCCACACCGCTATAGAAAACTCACGTGTTTTACACGCTAATGAACTTTTGACCGAAATATTTCGCATGCGCATTACCTAATTCCGGCTGTAGTAGGTTACAAAATGCCGGCCATGTCGATTTGTCCTTGGCAAAAGATGAATATAATACAAACTTATGCAGTAAGATAGCCCCTGTGATATCAAATGCAATTCAAATCTAAATATGATAAAATATGTGCATTCGTGCATACATATGTATATAAATACATGCGTACTTACATATGTATGTCAATTATTAAGCTACCTATTAGAATGAATCATGCAACGATCGTTGACTTCATGCGAATGGACGCTATAAGCCAATGGTATCGGAACTGGCTGGGGCTACCTACAATAATTGAGAACGGCTATCACGGCTCCCAAATCGATGCCTATTTTCTATTGTTGACTTAGATTTTGGTGTTGCTTTTACGCTCTCTGTTTTGGCTACACGCTTCGTAAGCTGGGTCGTGGCTATCACAAGCTGAAGTAGCCAAGCTCGGCTTTGAGACGCTCTCATCACAGATCACGCTGAAATGAGCGTGAAATAATGTTACCAACAAGCGATGTGAGCGTAAAAAGCCATCAATTGCAATTAACCAAAGCAAGAGCAACGAATGATGAGACATCGCCATTATGATCTCGATATGTGGAGTCACACCCAAAAAATGTATGCTAATAGTTACCTTTTTTCTTTTACTTCAAAAGCTGAGCTCTCATTGCAAAATACATACCTTAAATGTTTTGAAAATATAAATTAAGTTATTCTAATAATCTGTATTATAGACATTTTAATTACCTGCAGACGCACTCCGTATGGTTAAGCTGATGAAAAAAATTCCACAGCACAGCAGCGCAGTCGTCAATTCAGAAGCATTCATTTTTGCTTTTGTACTATATAAATTAAGTATTTTGATTAAATGAGTTAAAAACACAATTAGTACACTTGTAAATGCATGTAGAAATAATTGCACTTGTTTGGTGTCCACTCAAATAATCCAGCCTACACAAATTTTGGCTGGTTGGCAGCAAATTTGAGCTTCTACTGCCACAGGGAGCGCTAGCCAGGTACACCAGCGCCTCTTACAACACTCGCGCACTGATGACTTTCAGGTGTTTTACACACCAGGAAAGTATTCCGGAAAAAAATTGTCCACTTATTTCTTTTTAAAAATCACTGTTTATACAAAGATTTATTTTCCAGTGAAATGTATTAAATTAAAAAAAAGCCACCGTCACGCCGCTTCAGAAAAATATCGCTGCTCCTTGCTGCTCGGTCGAATCGAATTTAAAATCAAGAGAATGAGAATACTTTGCCAACTCTTTTGACAAATTTTTGCGAAAATTGTAGAATGAAGAAAATGAGGGTTAACATTCTCCAGGTTGGTAGCACTAAACGTCAGTGCTGTGTGCTTCATTTTCTCAATCATCACTTTTATTTTGTGCTTCATTTTAGCAACAAAATCACCAGCTGATTGTTTATACGAGCATTTTTGTGAATATAAAATAAATTTCGCTGGAAACTATTTCTTTACTGGTAAAAAGGATATCCCAGCATGAACAGCCTTAATATACCGACAGATTTTGGTCCGGATTCGGGCGGTCGCGTAAAAGGTTTAGTTATTGTAAAGCCCATTGTCTACGGAAACATCGCGCGCTCTTTTGGTAAAAAGAACGAGGATGGGCATACACATCAGTGGAAAGTGTACGTAAAACCTTTCCACAATGAAGACATGTCCGTCTATGTGAAGAAGGTACATTTTAAACTTCACGAAAGCTATGCTAACCCGAATCGAATTGTTACTAAACCACCCTACGAAATTACCGAGACCGGTTGGGGCGAATTTGAAGTGGTCATCAAAATATATTTCCACGACCCAACAGAACGTCCTGTGACGTGCTATCACATATTGAAACTTTTCCAAAGTCCAGTGGTTGATGGTGAACTATCCAGCACCCATTTGGACAACAATAGAAGATTAGGTGCTGCAAATGTACATTTAGTATCAGAGTCTTATGAGGAGATCGTATTCCAAGAGCCGACCCAATTAATGCAACATTTTCTCTTGAATGTGCAGCCACTGACAAGTGGTTCCTATACACACGACACAGATTGTAAGTGCTATTACTAAATGAAATAATTTGTTTACCTTTAAATTTGTATTTACTTTTAGTCGACTCAAAGAAGGAAAGAACCTTAGAAAACATTATTGAAGTCAAAGGAAAGGTGAAAAATGAAATTAATTCGCTGAAAGACAAATTGAAAATTGCACGTGAGACTATAGCCAAGTTCAAAGCGGAACTGGCAAAGGTACAAAAGCCGCCCGCTACATAAAAGTAATATTTTACCTTCTCTTAAAAACATTTCTCCAAATCATCTGAAAAACTACCGCGTTATGTAGTACACTAAAATGTTACAAAAATAAAATAAATTATTTTATTTTTCTTAAAATATACTTTTTATTTTGTTTAGAAAACGGCGAGTCTCTAAACTTTTGGCATACTCAAACAATATCCATGAATTGTAGTTCAGAGAACAGCATCACCGTGTTTGGTAGCGGCCTAGGCTGTGGTGAAAGTACGGTTATAGTTTGTTTATCCATATCCACGTCGGTGCTAAAATAAAAGCATCATTATTAGTGGACCAAATGTTCAGTCTTTTGATGGAAAATATATTTAAATACTTACACGCAGACAAAACCAGCTACATTAGTTCCAATTATATCCTCGTCCGTCGATTCGGCAAAGCTAATTGATAAGAGGTGGTGCAGTAGTGAAGGGCTGGGAGTCACTGCTACAACTTTGGTTTTATTGTCTTCCGCCTTCATTCCAATGGGCATGCATGAGTCAGGCAACGGCGGCGCGCCTATTTTGTACAATTTCAAATCTTGGAATTTTACTTCGAATGAGAATGGGTAGAAAGGTGTACGATTTCCATAGAAGTATTCTTTAATTCGCAAGTCACGCTGCTCGTTACGCAAATCCCTACTTCGCTCCACTACACCACCACTCTTTGGCAACAAAACGACGCGGACGAATGATGGCATATCCCGCAGAAGCTCATTGTACAAGCGCTCCTGGTCGAGAACAAATATTGCGTTCACTTCAAATGCTTGTGCCGTGTGCAACAAATGAGCATACCCATCCGCTTTCACCCAACCGCATGTATTAATAATCATACCAGAGTATTTTGCTAAAAATAAAATTATTTTCATATGTAATAATTATTATATGTTGATTATCTGTAGGTATTTATTTTTACTCACTTCGTTTATTAACATTCATAGATTCCAATGTTACTTCTGCCATCTTTGCTACTGTCGCCTTGTATAGAACATTATTAGAACCGGGACTTTTATGTCCAAAATGATAGACTAGAGGCGCTGTCTGAGAAAATCCTTCCTCGATGCTAGCAGGTCGTTCAATGAGTATCGATGCTATAGTGCCTGGAATCGAGATTGAACCTTGTCCAACGTCAATGTCTGCATAAAGAGGTCGTCGCCCCAGCCTCACCGCATAGTTAAGAAATATACGAGACAAAGTACTCTTCCCCACATCTAGGGGACCCACAACCATTGCTACTGGACCTCGTTCGTCTTTCTCCTCGGCATCCACGCGCATTTGCTCCAAGGCTGCATGACAATTTAAGTACTGCACCATTGGAGTTTCTTTTGAAATATAGCTAACGTCAGTTTTCCCATTTACATTCAGCACACATCCGTGGTAAGTAAAGATTGCCACTTTGGCGCCAGTGAGGAACTCGTATTTTTTCTTCTTTACCAATTCTGTGCCAAACATTTCAGCGAAACCAGATACAAGCTGAATGGCAAAAAAAAAACAAAGTAACTATGCATTAAAGCCATTTTTAAGCGATTTATTCGAAGTTACCGCAACGTAAACTTTGGCGTCTTTGTCCTCTATTTCAAAACGCAGTTCCGAATCTGCTTCCAAAGTAAACTCCTCGCCTTCTTTGGATTCCTCAGTCATTGTTAATTAGTATAAAAACGATACCCTATAATTTTACAATAATTAAACTATGCCAAATCCGCAACAAGTAATAGTACGCTAATGTGTAATATGCAATTTGTTTATAAACAGCTGTTGGCAAACCCTGGGTTGCTTTGATAGTATTAAAAAAACGATGAACTTTAATTACAAGTTGTTGCAAGTATCTATTTCGAACATTTATTTATTTATGAAGATAAACAAACTAGCTCACAAAAAACTGCATAAAATGTGCGTTTTTAAAATGGCTATGAAAAATGTTTTGATTTCTAAGAAATTTTCACATCAGAAGTTCCGAGGACAGTCCCGTGCCTCTACATTTTTTCGAAACATATTGGCATCACAGATCAGCTGCCACAGAACGTAATTTACAAGGCGAATTCGTTTCTACGTTCTTCGCAGCTGCCAATTCAGTAAACATTTCAGTCTGGCGCTGTTTATAAATATTTTATTCAGTTTTACAAAAGACTAAACAAATTTTTAACTAATCTGTAGGTGAACTAAAGAATCCATGAGTAACATTTACATACAAGAGCCGCCCACTTCGGGAAAGGTAAGTGAACTCCTCTATTGTCAACATAAGTAGTGTACGACAAACGAATCTTGCAGGTACTTCTGAAGACTACAGTTGGTGATATAGATATAGAACTTTGGTCGCGGGAATGTCCCAAAGCATGCCGCAATTTCATACAGCTATGCATGGAAGGCTATTACAATGGAACAATATTTCACCGTGTCGTCAAGGGCTTTATTGTTCAAGGCGGGGATCCCAGCGGCGACGGCAGTGGCGGAGAATCTATCTACGGGCATCCATTTAAGGATGAATTTCATTCTCGCTTACGTTATGCTCGACGCGGCCTGGTTGGCATGGCGAACGCAGATAAAGATGACAATGGCTCACAGTTTTTCTTTACCATGGCCGCTACACCAGAACTGCAAAATAAAAACACGCTTTTCGGCAAAGTGACCGGAGACACTGTCTACAATATGTTGAAATTGGAAGACGGCTTAGTCGATCACAATGAACGTCCTATGTATCCTCAAAAAATTTTGCGTACCGAAATATTGAACAATCCTTTTGATGATATAGTTCCGCGCAAGGTGGCAAAAGAGAATAAAAAAGAGAAAACCAAAAAGCGCGAAAAGGGTGTTAAGTATGTTAAAAGAGGCCCAGCCATAAGGCAATTTTCGATTTACTTAAGTAGTCAACAATTACACATTGAAGTTCACACATACATGTTTTGTTCGGCTTTTTCTGTAGGAATTTTGGACTGCTCTCTTTTGGCGTGGAGGCTGAGGAGGATGAAGAGGAAACCAATCAATTTGTGCAGAAAAATGCTGGGAAGGCTAAATCGATGCATGACGTTGTTGACGATCCCAAACTGAGTAAAGATGCATTGCGAATCGAAAACACAGCTAGTGTAAGTTCTGATGATGAAGAAGCTTTAGAAGAAGAACGCCGAATAACGCGTATCAAAAAAGAGCCACTCGGTGATGAAGATGTGGAGGAACGTAAGAAACGCATAAAAGAGAAGCTACAACCAACAGCCAGTACATCAAAAAAAGCGCCAAAAACAGAAACCGTACAAATAAAAACCGAAATCTCCGACTCTGATGAAGACGTGCTAATGACCCAAGAGCAGGAACGGAAAATAAAAAACCAGAAGAAGAAGTACACACAAATAGAAATTCGATGGATTTGTTTTAATTTTTCTTCCTATTTAGGGATGAAATTCGCAAAGAGATTCTCAACCTCAAAAAGCAATATCAAACAGAAAAGAGGGAACGTGAAAAAATTGATGAGAAAAAGCCTGAGAAAAGCGCCGCCGTTGAATTGCATGCTAACGCGAAAGACAATGAATTTATACAGAATTTTATCGAGGAAAAGGAGAAATATAGCAGTCTAAAATCAAAGATTCCAAAGAAGGGTGCTAGCCGGGAAGACTTTACTTTAAGCTTACTTTCGAAATTTCGCAATAAATTAGATGCGCTAAAACAAAAACAAGCCGAATCGAATGAGGTCAAAGAGCTCGTTGACGACGTCATTGTAGAGAAAGAAATTCAAGGAGACGATTGGTTGGCGCACACATTGAAGTTTGACGAAGCCGCGCCTACATTAGCTAAAGACGCATCTACCAAAGGTGATGATTGGTATGATGCATATGATCCTCGAAATCCATTAAATAAACGAAAAAGAGGGGAGGGCAGTAGAAGTGGAGGCAGCAGTAGTAGTACAAAACGTCGAAAATAAAATGTTGTACTGCACAATTTTTGTTTATTATGTCCAATGACGTCCCGATTCTATGAGGACATTCGTAAATATGTAAAATGGAGAAAATAAAAAAATCAATCCTTTGATATAGAAATATATGAAAAAAGTGTAGAATAGATGATACTTTTATGTAATTTAGTTATTCTTCTGGAAATACTTTGACTTCTCCTTTGGGTCAGGGACGATCTGCAAATAAAAGGATTGTAACTAGTTTATAATGCAATATAACTTTTGCTTTAATTTACCGTATCCGCGCCAGGCTTCCATCCAGCAGGGCACACTTCTCCGTGAGTATCGGTATATTGGAAAGCTTGCACCAGCCGAATTGTTTCATCTACCGAACGTCCAACGGGCAAATCGTTCATTGTTATTTGTCGCAAAATACCGCGGTGGTCGATGATAAAGAGACCACGGAGGGTATGGCCCAAATCTTCTAGATAAACGCCGTAGTCCCTGCTGATCTTATGCGTCAAGTCGGAAAGTAATGGTATCTTTACATATCCAAGACCTCCTTCTTTTCGGGGTGTGTTGATCCATGCCAAATGCGTAAAGTGGGAATCGACACTAACCGCCACAACGTCTGCCTTGATTTTTCGAAATTCTTCGATGCGATCCGAAAATGCAATAATTTCGGTGGGACATACAAATGTGCTGAAAATCAATATTTTTAAATGATAAACTCGACTAGAACAGATAAGTGGGCACTTACAAATCCAATGGGTAAAAAAGTAAGACTAGGTATTTTCCTTTATATTGAGCAAGTGATAGTTTTACGAATTCGCCTTTTACCACAGCAGTGGCTTCAAAATCAGGTGCTGGTTTGGATACTGCAAAAAACATTCGATTAAAAGCAAATATCGAAATAATACTATCTATTATCTAACTTACTGACTGCTTTGGTAGTCTGTAGCTTGTGATCACCTCTTGGTCCTTCAGAAGGATACACGGAGCCACCAGCGAAGGAGTGACATGACTCGATCTCGTCATATTTGGAAGCCGATGTTAAAACTGCGCATAATATGCCAAGTATACAAATTTTTGGCAACATCGTTCGTGGCAGTATCTGTGGTAGGTCTGCAAATATCAATTTATAATTGACATGTAAGCCACGCACACACTTTTTAACAGCTTTTTGATAGTAACAAATGAAGTGAGGGAAAGTGGTAGCAAAGTGGCACTGATAAAAATACAAAGCCGGCTGAGTTGGCGCAAATTATCACTTATCAGTTATAGATTTGTTACTGAAGTTTTGTATAGCCACGAAAAAAGAAATACAAAATGATGACGGAAGCAAACGCATAAACAAAAACAAACAAAGTAAATACTGTTGATTTTGTTGTTTGTATTCAACTTTAGCTGTACGCGGGGGCGTATTTATATTTGATTATTGACAATCCAGCCTAACTAAATTAAGCAATATGTAATTTTATTTAGTATTATATATAATTCCTTAAAAGTTTTAATAAAAACACTTCCCACGTTAAACAAACGGCAATAAATAAAGAAGCAACGACCGGCGTTAAAACCAAACACAGGGTTGTATTTTTTAGCACCATTAATAGGGGTCTTCCCTTAAACTCGTAAAAGCCTCGTAAAGCTTGTAAATTTACGAGCCTTGTAAAAGAGCTGTCTAAATTTGTATGGAGTTCTATTTACGAGCCCCTCGTAAATTTACCGGGGCAAATTTGATGCACAAACGACCACATAAACTTCAGTATTGCCGAGGGGCCGAAATTTTTTATACTAAAATTTTTGATAAAATAATGAAAATCAATGAAAAAATAATACGCGAATGAATTCATCCATTAGCTGTATCGACTTAGGTTTTCTGCTAATTTTCGGCATTTTTAATTGTATTTTAGCCTCGAGTGATAGAGACAAGATGGCAGGATGTTATGGAAAATCTACGAAACAAAAATTGTTTCACAAAACCCTGGTTGATCTGTAAAACAGTCACTTTATGCACCTGTTTACACCTTTTCGCAAAGGGGGCGTACCCATAAAAGCCTCGTAAACTTTAACGGCGTATCCACGTCAACCGAATCACGTTGTTCGCTCTCTCAAAATACAGGGAAACGAAAAGTAAAAAGGGAACTCGTTCGGGAAAAATGAAACCAGATACCGCCTTATTATGGGTTTCATTTTTTCCTAACGGGTTCACTTTTCCTTTTGGTTTCCATGTATTTATTATGGGCGGGATCAAAATTTTCGGGTGAAATTTTTTCGGACGAAACTCAGGATAAGGCAGATTGAGATTGACATCCCTATTGTGAGTGTCGACTAGTAGTAGATAAACGACTGATAAAGCCAGATAAATCTTTGTGGCTTTACGTGACATTTATAACCAAGGCGAATTTATACAAGGTGGTGTTGTTAAATCAGCTGATTTCTTCGCCTTACATGTATTTTGTTTTTCCTTTTACTGATTTGACAGCACCCCATCAAAAGCAAAAACAAAATACATAAAAAACTTTGGGGTGAATTGAGATTTGACATAACACCCGCAATACAAAATACATGTCGTTGTTGTTGTTGTAATCTAAATTCACCAATTTATACAAGGTGGTGTTACTGGCGAATTAGGGTTTTCGCCGCGCTACTTACCAATGTCAAAATGATGTGCTTGTTGTAATATGAATTCGCCTTGTTTACAACAAACACATCATTTTGACGTTCAGAAAGACCGCGTCGAAAATCCTGATTCTCCAGTAACACCACCTTGTATAAATTAACTAACATTGTGCATTTTCATAGCAATAGGAATGTGAGAGTGAATTCGCAAAAATTTGTAGTTTGAAGGGTTAAATATTATTTTGCCTATTCGAATGCATTCCTGTGCATTCATAAGTGTTTTTTAATTTGTTTTTTTTTTTGCTGATATCTTATATCCACTATCCGGTTGTTGTGGTTTCATTTTACCTTTTTTCTGTTTAAGGAGTGTCTGTTATGGATTTCTTATTTAATTCTTTTAATTTTTGAGAAATGGTGTAAAAGCTCTATTTAAAAAAAGTTACAGAATCCTGCCATTCCTCAAACAGTTAAAACCTTGGATAAAACGGCCGCAGTACAGAAAGATACATATGTATATGTGTGCATATATTCGTGACAATAATCACATCCACACAATTGCTTTGCAGAAAAAAGTGCCTACGATTACTTCATCCAATTAACTCAACAATTTGGAATCGGAGAACGAAGGTCCAAAATGCAAAAGAATCGCGACTATGAAGGTGTTCCGCAAGATGCACCACCGATTGTGCGGCAGCCACGGGCCACAATAGGACCGCAAGGTATTCAACTGTTTGCATGTTTGTTTATACATACATTTGTACTCATGTATGTACATACATACATGTTTGCTGAGTTCCATATAATGTATATATCATTATTTTGTCTCCTTCAAATAGAGACTTGGATGAGCATTCCTATCGGCATACCTAACTGTCCAACAGGTTTAGAGTACTTAACGGCTGTCGACCAGCTGCTTGTAAAGCAACAAGTGGATTTGGTGGAAGTATTTTTTGGCTGTGAAATGAAAAACAAATCAAAAATAAAAAACTCTTCTGGCGAAAATGTATATTTAGCTGTCGAGGACACTCATTGCTTGACCAGAAATTTGTGCGGCTCCTGCCGTCCATTCGATATACAAGTGCTTGATAACTTCCAAAATGAAGTCCTGCACATATACAGACCATTACGTTGTGAATCCTGTTGCTTTCCGTGTTGTTTGCAGACTTTGGAGGTATCTTCGCCGCCGGGAACGGTAATTGGTAGCGTAGAACAAGAGTGGTCCCTTCTTCGTCCTTTGTACTTAATCAAGAATGCTTATGGCGAGAATGTGTTGCGTATTCGCGGACCACGCTGCACTTTCAAGTGCTGCGCTAACGTAGAGTTTGACGTAAGTGATATACAAGTATTTAAAACTAAAATTTATGTATATTTTAAAATTTAAACGTTTTCTTTAATTGGATTACTTTCAGATTTTTGCAATGAATGGCGAAAAAATTGGAAAAATCTCAAAGCAGTGGAGAGGCATTAACAAGGAAGTTTTCACGGATGCTGATTATTTTGGCGCCAAGTTTCCCATGGATTTGGACGTCCGCATGAAAGCTGTGGTTTTAGCTGCAACATTTTTAATTGTAATACATAGAAAAATATTTTTATATAACTAATTATTTAAACTTCCTCTTCTTTCAGGACATGGTGCATTTTGAATATTAAATCAATGCTCAAATAATTTTTTTCTTAGCCAGTACAACAGGTATTGCTACGTCCTACGCCTCAAAGGATTTACAAACTTGTATACTCAACGCGCACATTACCGAATTTTCGCTCCCTAATTTTCACTTATGCTCTTGTTGATTTTCAAGCAAACAAAGTACTTATGAAATCAACCTTTTCACAACCAAGACACCGAATACGCCTTTTTATAACAACTTGACTAAATATTTTTCTAGCAATATTTACAATATGATAGGACTAAGATCATTTTTATTGCAAGCATTTTTTAGGTACATGCATAAATTTTTTACATTGCTACTTAAGATCTTCATTTAATGAACGATTAAGAAATTTGCAATAAAGAAATCTGAAAGAAAAAAAAATAAAAATTTTATTTATTTATTGAATTAAGTCTACAGTGAAATTACCTTAGAGACTAGCAAAATAAAATATACTTATGTATGTATATACAATGCTGGATTTTTACTAGACATTAAATGGCAAAAATGACAAATGACAAAGTTGGGCATTAAAAAATATTCGTGTCATTACGTTAAAAAAATTGTCATGTTCATTTCCACATGGCATTTTTTTAAATGGCATATATTTTTTGTCATTTCAATGCCTAGTGGAAATTCGGCATAAAGTTTTTATAAAAGCACATCAGGATAAAGATAAATTAAGCAACTGTGACTTTGAAAAATAATTCTGTTCTCGAAGCGCACGAGCAATGGGTGAATTACTTGCATAATAAGTTTTGTAGTGTTCCTCGTAAAAAGGGTAGACATTACGTAGACTTCTTTGCGGAACGTTAAAGCTTATCTGCTCAAGTAAAATTGGACAATCAGTAATGCCATTAATTATGCTGTAGATATATGACATGGAAAGGACAGTTCTTCTCTTTTCCAAAGCACTCAAATTAATTAACAAAGGCTGAGAATCGTAAGATTTTATTTATAAAATTGAAAAGGAAAATTAAGCAAACGCTTTTTCTTAAAATTTTAGGCCTGAAATTTTATGAAAAGGCGATTGCTTATTTTTTATTCATACGGCACATTGAGCTACATAAGTTTTCATTGCCTCTAAGTTTAGCGGGAATTAAAAACACAGTTAAGTTTTTACGTATTCGTCGTTAATTGTATTTGAAATTCAAATTATGAGTTACATAACGATATGTCCAAGGCAAGGCAAATTTTTACAAGGTGGAGTTACTGCAAACGCGAATTTATACATATATTAACAAGGCGAATTTATACAAGGTGGTGTTCAATGCGAATTTCGATTTTCGCCGCGGAACTTAATGTTAAAATGAAGTATTTATTGTAAATAAGGCGAATTAATTTTACAACAAACACATCATTTTGACATTAAGAAGTACCGCGGCGAAAATCTAGATTCGCCATCAACATCACCTAGTATAAATTCGCCTTGGTGGTGTTGTTAAATCAGCTGATTTCTTTACATGTATTTTGTTTTTGCTTTTACTGATTTGACAGCATACCAGCGTTGGCACTTTGCTACAATCGTAGATTTTTACTACGATTTTTCCAAAATTTTAAAATTTGCTACCCAAGTACGCTTAATCCCATTTTTAGTACGCTTTTTATATTTCATTCAACTGATAGGCACCAACTATTTGTAAATCACTATGACTTCAAAAATGTGGTAAACAGGACATGGCTTCAAGATCTAAATGTATACTCTTATTGCAAATTGTGCGAGAAGCGTCTAAATAAAAACATCTGAAACATAAGTAGGCACCACCGGACAAATATTCGCATGACAGGGGGAAAGGGGCACGAAGTTGCGGAAAGAGGTAACAATGACTGCGTGTCGAACTACTTCCATGATGGATTCGTTGCCACAGATAAAAAGGCGGCTCAACAGAGGCAATATCCCGTAGGAATCGAATTATCGATATTCTTAAATAACGTAAATTTTCACTTAGTTATGGCGAAACAAAAATAAACATGTATAATACAATACTCAAAAGAGTACAAATGTTATTAAAATTTAATTGTTATGTTTTGTTTTATAACATTGAATTTGCATATTTATTTAAAGTAACTAATTTTTATATTTCGGTACGATTTTTTATTTTTAGTACGATTTTTCTGGTATTTTGGTACGCAGTTGGTTTCGTGAAGTGCCAACCCTGTTAGTTATCCATGATATCTAGAGTTAACTATGGTGATGTCACGCTTGACCTTGTGCCAAAGCGAATTTATAAACTAAAAAATAATTATAAGTACATAAATAAATAAGTACAGTGTATAAATTTGCCTTGCCTTGTGCCGCACTCGACGTAACATCCTCAGAGCAAACCAAGCGGCCGCCATTTAATTCGCCACACAAAAGTTTGTCTGCATAACATCGACCGTACTTAAAACTTATTTCAGGGCAAAAGTGGGGAGTCTCTACCTAATAAGAAATACTGAGTTAAGGTTTCACAGGCACATATCGACGAAGAATGTCGATGCCAATGACTAACATAAATAAGGGCGGATATGTACCGCCGGGATTTGGAGCTGGATATCCATCAGGAGGAACAGCCCCCAACGTGGCACAAGCCGACGGTTATCAGCCTTCAGCACCAGGTGCATATGTAAGTGCATATACGTATGTATATAAAATTTTACTTGTTTAAAAAAATGGGCGTACACCGCATATTCAGCAATGGCTTCAACTATGGCTCACGATACGTTTAACAAAAACATGCAACTCGATTATCGTAAAAGTTGTGGCCCTCAACCTTTGCAAACGAAGAGTTTAAGCTACCTGTAATTCCAGCGTAACTAAAGTCTAGATATTGTAGCGGGGTGAACTTCTAATTATAGGGACGCGGCCGCTACAAATGCAATATATGGCCGGCTTGTGAAAGCAGCCCACACGACACCATCCCACGATCTGGGCGGGGTTGTTGTAGCCGCTACAACAACAACAACACCATCCCACGACAATCGGGTCTACGTTACCGGAACGACCCAGATTTATATCTGGCCAAGGACTGTCACTCCAGCAACACTTCCCAACTCTGGGAAATTTGTATGCTGTTACAACAACAACACCATCCAACGTTCCCACGCAACGCCCCAGATTTTTATCTGGCCTTTTATCACTTCAGCATCATTCCCCAAAAACTCTTTAGGGAATTTTTTTGCTGTTGCGACAATAACGATCAATCCGCCATAAACCAACCTATTTTAGAACTTTATTTTACACAAATTAAATAAACTTTATCTTTACTGCTGTGTGCTCTACTCAAAAATATTAATTCTGCGAAGTCGCTGGATTTTGTCAACGAGAACAATTGCGAAATTTAGTTATTGCCATGGTACTTATGTACATATGTACATACTTATATAAATACATACATATGTACATATGTACATACATGTGTAGAAACCTTGTTTTAATTTCTTAGCTGCTGTACAAACTTTTTTATTCCGTGTTTTCTTTCCTTAGGGCTTTGCACCGGGACCACCGCAGAGCGGATACACACCCGTGCCACAAATGCTGCCCTATGGTGAAGCGCCTCCAAATTATGGTGGTCAACAGCCGCCATATGGCGGCGGGCAGCCATCTTATGGTGGACCGCAACAATCTCCTTATGGTGGTGGTCAACAGCCTTCTTATGGTGGCGGTCAACAACCTCCATACGGTGGTGGCCAACAACCTCCTTATGGTGGCATGCCACATCCTCAGCCACAGTACAATGGAGGCGCTGGCTTCCAACCTGGGCCTGGATATGGCCCACAAGGCCCAATAATTACGCAACCAGGAATGGCACCACCAGAACAACCAATGGGACAGCCAATGATGCAGCCGGGACAACCAATGGGTCCAGCAGGTTAGTAAATTTAGGAAATTTGTGCATGGTTATTTAAATGTATTTTCAGTTGAAAAGTGAAAACAGGAAAGAGC